CACTCTGGGACTCGAACCCAGTACCGTCCGTTTCAAACGTCATTGCGTTATCCGCTTATAATTATTTTCCTTGCTCTTTGTTCGTTTATTTTTCTTCACCTTGTCACACCCTTTTATTTTCGCAAATATAGGCTTCATTGTCCAATTATCTGAATACCTCTTATTGCGTAATTTGTTATTTCAGCATCTATAGTTTAAAAGTCATTTATTCAAGTCTTTGTTATTGCTATAATAACTAATACATCTACCCTCACACAATCAATTTGTACGTTTTATATATTATGTGTATCTATGCAATCTGTTTATCTGGGCAGCATCATTGATGAACACGGTGGATTAGATGCACATGTTAGGGCGAGGATAGGCAAAGCAAAAGCAGCATATTACTACAGATCCGTTGGTCAGACACTATCAGCAACATTCCACTGTGAGAGAGAACAAAAAAGATTCGATCCAGATAAGGAAGAAATCAAGAAGAAGTGCTAGAAGTGGATTGGGCACACATTGAGGAAATCACCCAATTGTGTCACAAGACAAGCCCTCACATGAAATCCTGAAGGTCAAAGGAGAAGAGGAAGACCAAAGAACACATTACGCCGAGAAATGGCAACAGACATGTAAAGAATGAACAACAATTGGATAGAACTAGAAAGGAAGGTGGAGGACAGAGTGGGTTGGAGAATGGTAGTTGATGGCCTATGTTCCATTGGGAGTAACAGGCGTAAGTAAGTAAGTGAAGTAAGTAATGTAATCTGTTGCATTGTTTTCCCTGTCTCATAATCTGCCCTGATTAGTTTAATGCGTATAAACACTATTTTGTATTAGAGTAAAGCTTGATGACGATCTAATGGAAAACATTACTGTTAGCATATATATGCTGTTCTTATTTACAATATAAGAATTTTTAAAATGTACTGACTTATAAAACCGTCAATAACTTATTACAAACTTTACAACTGATATAATTCTACCTGACTAGTCAATTGACACATTTCAAAGACTATTCGCTAACCATTAATGTATTTGTTTATCCGAGATCTAATGACTATGCATTACAAATGAATTGTGATCCATGTCATGGCATCCAATTTCATAGTTTGAGATGATATCACTAATCTATTTGAGCTGTGACCGACCTTTTTCTGGACTAAGATATTTTAAAATTCAATAAATCAATAATCAGTAACTGATGTTCTGTTTGCCTAGTTCGTTAAGCACTTATCAATATCTGTCAATCGTTAATTACTTGATTCAATGTATTCATGATGAAAAAGGGGAGTTTTGTGGAGATTTTAGTAATTTTATATAGTTAAGATAATGAGTCAATTGAAGTTAGACCACCATGGAAAACCATGAAGCACTGGACGGCCATTTCGTTTTATTGTGGCGAATAGAGTTGAAATTTTCAAAGTCAAGTTGTTAAATATTGAGAAATCAACTACTGTTTATCACTTTTATAAGCCTACAGTATTTTTACGCATTATGATGACATCGTAATCATTTTACTAAAAACAGGGATAGATGGTGGTTGGAGGTGGTCAACAGGAAACACTGGACTCGGGTTTCGTGCTACTTGGCACTCGTCAGCAAGGTTAACCTCTAATCTTAAGGGAACTGATGCCCCATGACGGATTCGATGTCGTGTCATCCAGCTTCACACTCATAGACGTTACCCCTGCCCGAACTCCTGTAGGACTGAGATGTAATCACAAATGATTGATCATTGGGTGGTGATCAATGTCATGCGTGTCAAGTCATTACTTTCTAAGAATTATATACTTTTGTAAGAATAAATCTTTCTCATCAATCGATTATTTTGTTATCAGAATTAAATAAAAGGCTGCTTCTAATTCAGAGAGTTAATTTCAAAGAACATTCATATCTGACCAACAATTAAAAATGAGCTATTTCATACACATTGTTCACTTTATAACTTTAAATAGAGCAAGAATGAAGATTGGTAATTAACAAATAGAGTTGAGATCATGAGTCAATTGAAGCTAGACTACCATGGAAAACCTGGAAGCACTGGACGGCCGTTTCGTCCTATTATGGGACTCCTCAGCAGTGCGCGTCCACGAACCCACTCTCGCGGGATTCGAACCCAGGACCTACCAGTTTCGTGCTCACTAGTGACTGACTCCTTGAGGTATTTCCTGGAGTTCTAGTGAGAAGCAGTAACCGGTGGAGTTCAACCAGGTCTGTTGTGAGATAGGAACTCACTGATGACATTGGTGAATGGTTGCCCAATTTCGTGAATCAGTTGAAGTTAGACATTGACACCGTTGGATGACAGCTCAGTGGTCTATCGGTTAAGGGCTTCGGCTCGAAACTGGTAGATCCTGGGTTCGAATCCCGCGAGAGTGGGTTCGTGGACGCGCACTGCTGAGGAGTCCCATAATAGGACGAAACGGCCGTCCAGTGCTTCCAGGTTTTCCATGGTAGTCTAGCTTCAATTGACTCATGATCGCAACTCTATAAAATACTAAAATCTCCACAAAACCCCTTCTGATAATTAACAAATAATCAAATTTCAACCTTTTAAAATTTGCCTAAGCGATAGTAATCAAACATTCAAAAACAAGATCTATGTACCCAAAAGGAGACTGTAATAAATCTTTCTTTGCCATGGCAACATTAAACCTCTTTGTTTATTTATTACGTCATTCACTAGTTCAACTCTTTCTGAAGTTTAAATTACATCATTGTTATTTTTCTTCAATTCTTTGAATCATTATTACCATTGATCTATTTTCAGTTACTTCATTACATAATCATTTGATGTTAGGTAACTCTACGAGTTCCAATCACTGTTGTGAAACTTTCCCTCTCACACTTCATTTATTCATCTGAAATAAAAATTCCTCATGACCTTATTAACTCTATTGGAATCTTCACTACATCATAATACACAGATTCAGTCAGTCAGTCAGCTACAACGTAGGACCAGGCACATATATGCATCGATCCAAGTTGCCATTAACTCATTAGCATAACAAAATGAATGGCGAACTCATAGTACTTAATTTAATGGTGGTAGTATATAAAAGATAGGTTGCATATAAGGATATAGTAAAGGAAGGAAGAACGTTATGAAGCAATTTTAATCTTAAGGTTTAAGGGAAGATAAAGAGTGTATACATCTACGTCATTATGGTCGATTATGAATCATGTCATCCAGAGTCTCCAACCATTGGTTACGATAGTCACACGGACCCCAACCAAGTAGTCTGCATCTACCAACATGGCTCGGACTAGAAGTTAGTGACTTCAACCACTGATGTCATTTTTTGGTTTGGCCGCCCCTAACTTTCTTCTAACCATCCCCTACACTAGTCAGCATAGTGCGTCGTGGTAATCGGTGTTCAAACATACGTAACACGTGGGCCAACCATCTCAGTCGATGAATATTCATTACTTCATCAACTGATTTACACATATTCATCTTGAACCATATTCGTATGTCAATATCTATCATTAGTTTGATTTTCAAATAGTACAGATTGTAAGCAGCTGATGAGAACCTAACCAAATAAAATGAATTCATATCAATCTTTGTTGTTGCTCTATTTAAAAAGGAGTTCACTAATTTAAGTAATAAAAGATCCAGTATATTTAGGCAGGAATTTTGAGAAAAGTCACTACTGTAGTGTCTAGTACCATATTAAGCTCACACGGGTTATTCTAGCTACTAGATGGACCAATTTATTCATTCCTCCTAAGTTACATTTTGACCTTGTCAGTTATTCGCTTATCAACTTTGACTGTTTTTATATAATCGTGTGTATGCGTGTATTGCTTACCCTATTCATCATATATCTGTAACTTATTTTTGTTTGACTATAAGTATTAAGTCATGTTTGGTTAAATCGAGTTGGCTCACAGACCTTCACTACGCAACACTTTATTTAACTCTCGTTCGTTCGATTCGTTTCCTTGATTGTTTGTTCAGATCAACGATTGCATGAAGTATACATATTTAAAGTCCAATCACGTGCCTGACTTATTTTCATCCCGTTAGTCACTAAAGCAAGTTAAGTCTACAATATTACATGAGGATTAGCGGCATATATATTTCAATAACAATCATTGATACGATCGAACTCGAGTCAAATAGAGGGCCACTAAAACACACCGTTTTGACTAGTGACAAGATTCCCTTTCCTATAACTTAAATTCATATAAAAAAAAACAAAGACTAAACAAAGTTATCATTTTAAGCAAAGATGGATAGTGACTAGCATTCGAATCCAGGATGCGCGTTTCGTCCTATTTGGGACACATCAGCTGGATGTACCTGCATCTCAGAGTTGATATTCACTCTGGGACTCGAACCCAGTACCTTTCGCTTCAGAAGGTCATCGCGTTATCCACCCATCGCACAAGAAAATGGCTATCAGGACTCGGTGGGTGAGTCCCAGATAGGACGAAACGTGCGTCCTGGATTTTATTGCTAGTCACTATCTATCTTTGCTTACCATGCTTGTGAATTATGGCTATATCGAGGCAATAAGCACAGTATGCACATATGCCAATTAAAGACTGACCAGTTGCGGTCCTAAACGTCAATGGGAAAATTCAAACAAACAATACTAAATGAATTTAAAGTTATCATTTGCTAATAATTTCCATCATAAATTGGTATCATACGAAGAACCATTGAAATCTATAAGACCTAAATTCGTTAAACCTTATGTTTCATATTGAAGATGTCAGTGTTCTCTGACCTTTTCAACTGATGTCAATTCATGACAACAGACCTTTTCTATTCATACATAAATAAGATATTGATATAGGTTTGTTCTCTGAGCTGGATGGTTTGATTGTGGAGTAGAAGTTTGTGCTGATGATGTCGTTCAGAAAGACAATGAAATCTCCACGACCAAACCATCCAACTCAAAGAATAAATCTATATCAAAATCACCCAACTGAGCTATAAATCTTCTCCACCAAATAAGATATTACGGATTAAAAAAAAAACAAATAATGAAAACACTTACAATTAACCTTTTATTCATTAAGTTACTTTGACTTTTATTCCAATGTACTGATTTACATGATGAACTTAATGGATAATCTTGATGATGAAATTTCCAGGATTTACTTGATGGTATAAGTGTTTTTGTTGAACCATATATTTCTTGTTTATTTCTATTCAATGGTTGTAATGAATTGGAATATTTATTTAATATATTCATATTCTCTTCACTATCTATTGTATTCAATGAAACAGTTTCTTCATCTGTACTAAGTAGACTACCACATTCTGAATTGATCACATTCATATCACCATGGTGTTTGGATTGATTTGATAATTTATATTTTTGATCATAAAATGATGATCTAGATATTCGAGATTTTCGATTACGAAAAGTAATCGATTGATCAAATCCAGATGATGAACCAATATTCCATATATCTGGTTCTTCTTCATTATTATTATTATTATTATTATTATTATTATTATTATAATGATTCTCTAATATACAACATTTGATAGGTGCAATAGTTCTTCTCGGAGGAGGAAGAGAATTCATTATCTTATTTGTATTGATTAAATAATGATTAGGTATCTCTAGTGATAAGGTTCTTTTTGGGATTAATACATTTGTAGATGGTTTTAAATGACTTACAATGGGTTTAATCGATTCATAGGATAGTAAACATGGATTCAAATTTGATTGATATTGATTTTTACATAATCGATTCATTGATATTATTGATTCTGGCATAATTTGTATTGATGATTTTGTATATGATTGTATATGATTTATATATGGATTTTGTTGCCGTATAATTGATTTATGATCTGTTTCTAATCTATTTTGAACAAATAATGATGAATAAGATTGTTTAGATTGAAAATATGTTTCATGAATAGGCTGATCATTTCTAATTGATTTTTGAAGTTGTGGTGATAATACAATTCTTGGTATATTACTATGCAAGGCATCATTCTGTTGTTGTTGTGGTGGTGGTGGTTGTGGTGGTGGTGGTGGTGGTTGTGGTGATTTCGAATAATTATATGATTTCGAAGTTATTCTTGTATTATAATTAGAAAATGGTTCATAACTGTCTATCATATTTGATAAGGTTGAATTAGTATTATCATGTATATAGAATGATTTATCACCTATCCATTGATGATTAGACATTGTCGTTGTTGTTGATGATGACGATGTTGTTAATGATGTTGATGTTGATGTATAATTTCCTGACATTGTTATCAATATTTTCTGTCACCTTGTTTATTTTTCAATCAATCAATCAATCAATGAACCAATCAATTGATCAATCAATAATTTAGGATTTTCGCTTGGAGACAATGATAATCATTGGAGTCATTCAATATAATTGTAGAATTATGTTAATAATAATCCTGTATGAAATCATTGATGTCATAATGAATCAGTATGTAAACAGGTGAATATATATATTCCTTTTTCATGTTTCTCTTTTTTTTTTGTTGTTGTTGTTTTCTGTTCATCTCCCTCTTTCTCTCTCATTCAATGATTATTATCACCACAACAACAACGACAACAATAACAACCTCAACAAATAACAATAATGATAGTTAGTTCTAATAAGAATAAGAATCTAATATGTCCGCCTTTCCTTTTTCCTATTTCATTCTTCTTCTTCTTCTTCTTGATTTCTTTATACACCTACTTTAAGAAAATAGTTTGGCATTTTTCCCCTGGAATTGAACAAATTAATCGATTAATTTATATAGATGTGTACAATTGTATACTACTGTACACTATTACATGTACCTATTCAGTAGTATAGTTCATGGAACTCTACAGTGGAATATATGAATGAATGAATGAATGAATGAATGAATGAATGAATGAATGAATGAATGAATGAATGAATGAATGAATGAATGAATGAATGAATGAATGAATGAATGAATGAATGAATGGATAAACACACACATACATACACATGTATTTCACTGAAGTACATAAAACATGTCAATATATATATATATATATATATATATATATATATACATAAAGTTTAAGACATTACCCCCTATACAAGCTAACAAAATGTAACATATTATTGTTACCAATCATTGCTACTGTTGAACTTATTTGATTTCTAAATTATTTATTTACTAGACACATTCACTTGGAAACTAAAAAAATATCCACGATCCCGCACTCGCGAGATTCGATCCCGCGACCTACCAATCTCGATCATGGATGAGCACTGCTGAGGAGTCCCATAATAGGACGAAACGGCCGTCCAATGCTTCCACGTTTTCCATGGTGGTCTAGCTTCAATTGACTCACGCTTTCAACCATGAAAATACTAAATCACCACAAAACCTCTTCTGATAAAAAAATAGTTAACATCAATGTTTATTTATTCCTTTTCTGTTTTTTTTTGTCCGGGGGAATGTGATTACAAATGGTCATTTAATGTCAAACGATCATTATGTGACATGAGAGTTCCGGTTTGATCTTTGATGGGGTAATGGATACTCATTATTGTAATATCTTATATTAGGATGATATAGCTGCTATACAGTGTTTCATAGTTTTCAATATTTGTCTAAGATCAAATAGTAGTGTAATCTGAAAAATTGTAAGGTTTTGTCGTCACTATAACTTTCCAGCATTTCTACAATTGAAGAACATATGGAACTCAAAACAACTGTCAACTAATTTCAAAGTGAGAAACTTCAATACGAACGTCAAGACAGTTAGTTCTACTGTACGGAGCTGAAACATGGAGAACTACTACATCCATCATCAAGAAGGTACAAGTATTTATAAATAGTTGTTTACGTAAAATACTCAACATCCATTGGCCAGATACTATCAGCAACAGCGTTTTATGGGAAAGGACAAACCAGCTTCCAGCTGAAGAGGAAATTAGTAAAAGACGTTAGAAGTGGATAGGACATACATCAAGGAAATCACCAATGTGCATTACTAGGCAATCCCTAACTTGGAATGGTGAAGGGAAGCGGAGATGAGGAAGGCCAAAGAACACATTATTCCGGGAGATTGAAGCGTATATGAAAAGGATGAATGTTAACTGGTAAGAACTGGAAAGGATTGTTTTAAAAAGAATGGGATGGTGAATGCTTGTCAGTAGATAATGCTTCTCCACGAGGGATAACAAGCGTAAGTAACTAAGTAAGTAATAACTTTCCACCAGTTGTGTTTTAGATAAATATGTACACAATTAGTATCACATCGTTGATGTAAATGTAGGTGCCTGTTTCGCTACTTCCGATTGGATACAATTAGTGTGTTAAATATATTTTTAGTAAAGTAAAAGGGATGTTGAGACTTCCCTTTAAAATCAATTCTCATCACAAAAATGGATATAACCATTTGTAAACCATAGAACATATAGGATCAAAATCAGAAACGTCATATTTAGTAACTACCATGATACTAATCAGATTACTAATTGACAATCTACTGTTAGAATACCAATGAAAACCTGGTATGGAACCCCTCAGTAGCTTTTATCTACAAACCCGCACGTAGGAGTCAAATGCAGGACCTTACGTCCCGCACACGATCGATTAACTTTTAGACCACTGATCCAGCAAGCAAAGGTGTTGATGTCCGACACTGATCATTTTACAACATTGCGCGACCACTTTCATTTTCTTCACTGGGTAACTCGCTCACACCCAGCACAGTTTAGCTCCACTAGTCACAACTCATATAGTGACCAAACTGGAAAGACTAGATATCATTTATGATTAATCAAGACGTGTATGTTTATACGAAACATTTAACACAACTGTTGTAGCTTATATTCTACATCTGTCAACGAAATTTCAAATTCAACAGTGAATACGTTGGTGAATTTCACCTGTCTCAATTTCCTGGAGTTCTAGTGAGAAGCAGTAACTAGTAAAGTTCAACCATGTCTGTCGGGAGATATCAACTCACTGAAGATATTAGTGAATGGTTGCTCAATTTCGTGGATTGGTTGAAGTTAGACATTAACACTGTTGTATGTCGGCCAGCTCAGTGGTCTGGAGGTTGTGTTCGCGCGCGAGACTGATAGGTTCTGGGTTGGAATCTCACGAAGTGGGATCGTGGGTGCGCACTACTGAGGAGTCCCACAACAGGACGAAACGGCCATCCAGTTATTCCAGGTTTCCCATGGTTGTCTAGTTTCAATTGACTCATGATTTCAACTATATAAAATTACTAAAATCTCCACAAAACCCCCTTCTGCTAAACATTTGTTAGTATTTAACAGAATGAGCAAACAAAGAATCCAATATAGTTAATAAGATCATAAAAAAATTTTATTTCAGATAAATAAATAAAGTGTGAGAAGGAAAGTTCTAGAACATTGAACTAGTGATTAGAACTCTTAGAGTTACCTAAAATTAGATGATTATGTAATGAAGTAACTGAAAGAACCTGATTAATGGTAATAAAGAAAGATATGAATTGAAATCAGTCAATTATGAATTAAAGATAAATGACAGTGATGTAATCAAAACTTCAGAAAGAATTGAATGATACAATAAAAAGGATGTAATGTTGTCAGGGCAAAGAAAGATTTATTACAGCTTCTATTTGGACATATAGATCTGGTTTTAAACCTTTTGATCGCTATCACTTTGGAAAATTTCAAAAGACTGGAGTTCGATTGTTTATTAATCACCTTGGAAGATTTCACTGTCCTGTATCAAGGAGATGTCTCGAGATGGCATTGCTGAATGCTTATAATCCACTTGAACTTAGACGTTTTGGATGTACGCTCTTCTTTCTGTTCTACCAATGTATCTGCTCTGGCAGATACATATGAATTCGTATACACAGTTGGTGGTAACATGAAAGGGATATCCATCGATCTTTGATTACGGTAAAGAACATGTTTTGGACATGACAAACAGTTTGTCTTCAGGATAAGTTCTTGTCAATGCAGTTTTTAGTCCAATGTTGATTGATTCTGTCACATCATCACCTTTGAATTTAAGTTGAATAAAAATTGGTTTTTTATTTACTGTAGTTTCTTTGGGTGTTTTATCTTCACGTTTTGGATACTCCTCAATAAACTTCAGTATATAGTCGTTGTTTTTGAAGCACTTTCTCACATTCAATAGTTCCTCTTCTTGTGTATCGGCAGTACACAATTTTTCTTTACTGTGAAATAATGTTTTAACCAGTGCCTTTTTCTAACTGAGTGGACAAAGGCTATTGGAATTGAGATAACTCCCATTCCACGTATCTTTCCAATAAACGGAACGTTGAACCGTGCCATCCTCCCTTCGTTCTATTGCAATGTTGATAAAGTAGAACTAGTTTTCATTTTCATGCCTCATAGTAAACTGGATATTTTTATGGTCTTCGTTGAAACGTTTCAGTAGATTTTTAACATGTTGTGGATCATTACATACGATGAAGGTATTATCATCACACCTCGAATAATACACCATTTCACCAATCGCTTGAGATTAGTTCTTTCTAGGTTACCCATGAAAATATCTTTCTAGTACAGGACCTAACAGAATTCTCATTGCTACACCATCAGTTACTTCATTACACAATCATTTAATGTTAGGTAACTTTATGAGTTTTAATCATCAGTTCAATGTTTTGGAACTTCCCCTCTCATACTTTATTTGTTTATCTGAAATAAAAATTCTTTGTAACCTTATTAACTCTACTGGAATCTTCACTACATCATGATACACATATTCAGTCAGTCAGTCAGTCAGCTACAACGTAGGACCAGACACATATATGCATCGGTTTAAGTTGCTATACTTCATTAGCACAACAAGATGAATAGCGAATTCATAGAAGTATTTAATTTAGTGGTGGTAATATACAAAAGAAAGATTGCGTATAAGGATATAATACAGGAAGAAAGACAGACATGAAGTAATTTTAATCTCGAGATGATCGATTCTGACCCATGCCATCCAGAGTCTTCAACCATTGGTCACGATAGTTACGCGGACTACAACCGGGTAGTCTGCATCTACCAACATGACTCAAACTAGAAGAGTTAGTGACTTCAAGGACTGATGCCACGTTTTGGTTTGGCCGCTCCTGACTTTCTTCCAACCAATCTTATTAACTTTTCACTACATTATGGTACATATATATTCATCTTTAATCACCTTCGTATTTATGAGCATGTTAATATCTGTCATAACTATGCTTTCTTAAACTATTATAGGCTGTAAGCAACTTATGAGAACCTAACCAAATTAAATGAATTCATGTTATTCTACATCGATCTTCTTTGTTTTTGCTCTCTCTTTAACTTATACTGTCAATGTATACCATTAAAAAGTATTTTGTATCTAGTTATGTAATCCAATTACCTTATTCTATGACACAAATGCACACATACATTTAGAAGAATATATTCACAATCCAATTATTAAGATAACGTCAGATGTAATTTACATTATCATTTACAGAATATGTCAGAATGAACTGAATATAATGTCGATTACGTAATTAGGTAATTATAAACTCTTTTCCTCCACGGATTACAAACGGATGCTAGTCTTTTGACTGTTTAACCAGTTTGCTTAAATTTGTGTAATCATTTTTGTCATGATATGATGTCACTTAAATAATTACTAAAATTCAACGTTAATTCGATGTGAAAACCTTTACATATATGGGCAACGTCATCGATAAACACGGTGGAGCGGATGCAGCTGTGAGGGCGAAGCAAGAGCAGCATATTTACAATTGAAGAACATCTGCAACTCAAAACAATTGTCAATCAACACCAACATCACAATTTTCAATACAAATGTCAAGACAGTTCTACTGTATGGAGCGGAGACATGGAGAACCACGAAAGCCATTATCCAGAAGATACAGATGTTTATTAACAGTTGTCTACGCAAGATACTTCGGACCCATTGGCCAGACACTATCAGTAATAAACCATAACAAAGCAGATTCCAGCGGAGGAAGAAATCAGAAAGAAGCTCTGGAAGTGGATAGGACGCGTATTGAGGTAATCATCCAACTGTGTCACATGACAAGCCCTCACATGGAATTCTGAAGACCAAAGGGGAAGAGGAATACCAAAGAACACATTACGCCGAGAAATGGAGACAGACATGAGAAGAATGAACAAAAGTTGGTTAAAACTAGAATGGAAGGCGGAGGACAGATTGGATTTGAGAATGCTGGTCGGCGGCCAATGCTCCATTGGGAGTAACAGGCGTAAGTAAGTAACGTAACGTAACGTAAAATGGGATAAACTTAGTTCCCCCCAACGACTGTGGGATGTACTAACGACTCAAAATCTCACAAGTATAATGGTTGCAAGGAATCAAAAATAAAAAAAATCACAATCTGTACATAGCTAAGTCGTTTGTGATACAAAATTGATTGATTGATTGATACATAAGTTGACAGTCTACATCGCCAACAGACTTTAGTTAGACAACCATAGAAAACCACTAAGCAGTGCACAGTTGTTCTACCCTGGTATCGGACACTTTGGTAATGAGCATCCACAACTATACTAGGGATTGAATCTAGGACCTTCGTTACTGGAACTTAATCTTTAAGCCAATGAATCGATAACTAGCGGTTTATATTTCCAACACTAATCAATTAACAATATTGCGCAACCATCATACAATGCCACTGATGGCCACCCACATGACTCCTTAGTTAACTAACTGAAATCCATTCTCTCTGATAGTCAACGAATTAAATAAAAGCAAACAATTGGAGCAATCAAATATAGCTGTGAACTAATTAGTTAATAAGTGAGCAACGATAATATGAATAATTATTCAACTTAGATTAGTTTTCCAAATTCCGTCTTTTTCACTTAGTCACTCCTACCTAACATTATCGATATATGCTTCGTATTTGCCTGTAGTTTCCTAGTTTAATGTGTTCATAAAACGATAATCTATAGAACTCTTGGCCAGTACTATAACTCAAAATAATTAAAACAGATTTTCTTAAATTCTAGTGAATTAACACTTACTAAATCAAACCTTTGCTTAGCCATGCTGGGAGGTTTTCACGAGCAAGAAAATGTAAATTCCCAGGACTTCGGCCAATATAACTTGCTCCACAGGAGCAGTCAAACTAATAAATACAAAATGAGGTGGTCATTCTAGGTACTTCATCTTTAAGCCTCGGTGTCACCATTGGACGTATAGAAAACACTAAACTTAGTTCACCAGCGTTAAAAGATTTCTTGGATTGATCTGCATAATCTCTGAGTTTTCGTGCTCGTGAACACCTCCCAGCGTGGCTAAGCAATGGTCTGATGAAGAAAGTTAACAGCTCGATATTGGCCCATTTAGTACAAACTGGTCATAGTGCCAGTATAAACCAATCCTTTTCAATGATTTATAGGATCAGTAATTTTTTACCAAAACTTACTAAATCATTCAAATAGAGAATGTAAAATTAACTCATTTATAACATTAAGTACGGATCATGCTCTATTGCAAATTGAGTTTTGACCAAATTATTGTATGATATCTTACTCTCTATCAAGTAACACCATATGTATTATATGTTATTGTTTTAAACACAATATGATTCCCAGAAGGAGGTTTTGTGGAGATTTTAGTAATTTTATATAGTTGAATTCATGAGTCTGTAGTAGGCGTCAAGTCGCAGTTGATTATGATCAGCACTACAGGAAAGCTATGTTGCAGTTACTAGGTTAGATCCCTCCGAAAGTCAAATATCAGAAGACAATTAAAGATTGTAGTAAGATGTATTTGTTGAAGATCTCGTGGTATCGAAATAATATCGAGATCGTGTCAAAGTTTATAAGCCGGACTACTGAGCATACGTGAGTCCGTACAAGGTCACAAAGCAACGAAAAAGTCTCTTTTGGTACAGTAAAACAATCACTGGTACAATTGGTTATAATAGTAATTGTTTCCGTTATACCAATCGTGTTCTCTTCATAAAAGTGAGTCACTGCAAGTCAATTGAAGCTAGACAACCATAGAAAACCTGGAAGCACTGGATGGCCGTTTCATCCTATTGTGGGACTCCTCAGCAGAATATTAGTTGCTTTATAAAACTGTGAGAACGGTTCTCGGGTGAACTCAAAGAAGCTCTAAAAAACTAAAAAAGAATCGAAGACATTCAATAGTTATCTTTTGGAAGAAGATTACAGAATCTTAATGTGTAGCTTCCCGATTGGACAAATGCTAAAAACCATTGCACGCGGATTGGATGACTGTAACGATGAATTCGTTTTTACTAAAAAATATAAATATCTGAGTTTTGTACCGACTGGAATGACATTCTTTCTCACTCGTCTTCTGTTTTCTCATTTTCTACTTGGAGGGTTCTATTGTTCAAATGCTCAGGTAGTACACTGTATGGCAGAAATCTAAGCTCTAGGTATAACAAAAAGAGTAGGATAAACTAGAATAATGAGCTTTGATTTTTCTTCCTACTTTTCAATTACCAACAAGTTCTTATGTTTCAGAACACTTTCAATAGTATTCATAGTTAAATTATCAAACTGCAAGATATTAGTTACCATCTCTTATCTGTTTCACCTATCTTCTTACATCGTAACAAGTTTAGTAGCTCGTTTGGATCCATTTAAAGCAAGAGACAATAAGGCATTGAATAAAATTTTCTATTTAAAGCCTTGTGTATTGGCATGAATTCATTGCTTTACTGTAGATAGTAAGATGGAGAATCCTGTTTTAACCTGTGGTGTCAGAAATCTGATACTGATTCACGGTGTACTTAACGCCAACCCCCAACTGACTACTTCAACGAGAACACAAGAAGGAGAAAGAAAGTGTATTGGGCTAATGAATAAAATGCACAAATACTTATTCATGTATATACCAATCTAATCCTTAGGAAATCGATCTATTTATTAGCCCATGAAATGCACTTGTCCTTTCGGTCACTTTCACATTAGGCTACTTCTGATTGGCTCTTCATAGCATATCTTTTAAGGCAATTGTCATATGGGCAGAAAATTTATTTATAAGTTTGGGAAAAGTTCTCAAGAATGTTTTCTTAATGACACTAAATATACCATCTAAATATTTGAGCTGAATACTTGATCTTGATGTCATATATAATATATTTACTACAATCAAAGAGGTGCAGGGTATCTCATTTCTAGTTTGTTTGTTTATGGACTTATATCCATCGAAATGTGAATTGATTTGAGTTTAAATACTTACTTACGCCTGTTACCTCATTATTCTGGACGACTTCATTAACACTGACATATGTGCTGATGATGTCGCTCAGAATAACAATGAAATCTCCATGACTTAACCGTCCAGCTCAAAGAATAAAACTCCACCAAAACTAACGGTATATACTTGTGAATACTGTCGAGTTTCATTGAGGTAATGAACCGATATACGTAAGGCCATCATCAAAACCTGGAAGAACTGGACGGGCGCTACCTTCTAGCATGAGACCTTTCAGCAATAAGCATCCACGACCGCACACACAGAAATGGAACGAAGGACCTTCTATCACATGAGAGAACGATTAACCACTAGACCACTGAGCTGCCATTCAACGATGTTAATGTCTAACATCGATCAATCCACGATATCGCGCTATCCTTCCCATTTTCTTTAGCAGGTAACTTCCTCACATCTGACATGGTTGAACTCCATTAGTCACGACTTTTTTACTGGAACTTCGATAGTTACCTCTCGAAGCTAGTCACTAGCGAGCATGTGATGATTAACCAGTCGAAATAATTCTCCTCAATTGGTTTTCATACCACGAATAGTGAAGATATATATGAAACTGTTCTCAAACCCTTTCGAGACTACTATTTCCAAAATGATGAAATTACATTGATTCTAAAGAGTATTTTAAATAAAATGTATTAAATCTGTAATACAATATAAGTCTTTCCTGATTCGTAGGATTGATGTTCCATAGATAGGTATATAAATCTATACAACTCCGTCACCAAACGTTAATTATCATTTATTGATCCATAATAAATGAAATTAGGTTAAAGCATAATCGGAATCATGATGCCTAGCTAATCATAAATAAGAATATGCCTTGGTCACCATAACAACCATAACTAATCTAAACATGAATCTATTTATAAATATAGATGTATGTAAACAATAATCAACCTTTTATGATCTAAATTGATCAATCGTTTAATGAGGATAGTACTGTAGTGAACAGAACACTAGTTGGGATAATCGAATGTATTTAAACAAAAATTACAGACTATCTCTGTAAATTCTGATAACCATACAGTAGTAGACAGTTAATTTGCAAAATAACAATCAATTGTCTCAATCTTCACTGTTTCTTCTGTAAATGTCAATCCATCTTCTTTAATTCCATTGTTCTCGCATTTTCTTACCAATTACGCTTCATTTCAGTCCTTCCCTCACCGGTCTTCTGCCAAACTACATTCTATGTCTGACCATTGCCATATACTACTTATATAGATATAAGTAGACCACACCATAGTACCATTCACTATTTTATATTCGATCAAAAAGTATATAACATCAAACTTTCTAATTGAATGTCAACATATTCAATGAATGATTTTGATCCTTTTAATAATATTCCATCTCATCTGATATTTACCAAGACACCGAATGTTTCACCAGCTAATTCATGTTCTTTACATGATTCATATGATCATACTAATCAAATTAGTGATGGAAATCAACAGAATAAACAATTTCATTCAACTTTTAGTTATAATTTATTACCGAATCAATGGTCGTATACGAATAATGTAAGCATTCTTTCTTTAGTTAATATTGATATTCTTTAAATTCATTTAGTATTGGATGTTTGAATCTTCTCATTGATGTTTTTAGGACTGCAACTGGTCAGTCTCTAATTGGCATATGTGCATCCTGTGAGGACTGCCTCAATATTGCATGAAGTAACAAGCATTATAAGCAAAGATGGACAGTGGCTAGCAATGGAATCCAGGATGCGAGTTTCGTCCTATTCGGGACTCGTCAGATAAATGTACCTGTATCTCAGAGTTGATGTTCACTTTGGGGCTCGAATCCACTACCTTTCGCTTCAAACGCAGTCGCGTTATCCACCTAGAGTGAACATAAACTCTGAGATGCAGGTGCATTCATCTGAAGAGTCCCAAATAGGACGAAACGCGCGTCCTGGATTCCGTTGCTAGCTACTATCCATGATTAATGTTCTTTGTTTTAACTGGAATATAGTAATTTCTACAAATCTAAACACTACTTTAGAAACAATAATCCATCAATTAAGTTGGTTAGGAAATATATTGTGATAAGTTGAATTGGTTTGTAAATAAGCTCTAATAAGTTCTTATTGAATGATATTCTGTTGACCCTAAGACGTTTTGGTTTTGAATTCAGCTTTGTGTGATTTTTTGGGTACAAATTATTATGAGCGTTTTTAACTAGGACAAAACACCTATTCAATCCTTTCTGGTTCCCAATATATTTCCAGTTGATTCTGTTTGGTGAAGAAAACTGTTTAACTATATCAAACACACAAGAAATAAATGGCTCCAGTTAAATAGTTAATAATTAGCTGTGAAATAATTTTCTTGAGTGGTGTTTGGTGGCATCAACCAACTTAAAAATGAATGACATTGGATATGTATCCCACCAAATCATAAAATGAATGCATTTATATACGTGAGCTGTGTAATTCAAACTCCCACAATTGAGCTCATCGTCAAATCTTGACGGTTAAAACTTGATGCACTGTTAAAGTACATGGAAGTAAGGATAAAACAACAAAGTAAAGCTTCCTTATTCTCAGTGGTTCTTCAATTGAAAATAATTTACACTGAACAATAGTTTGAATTTTTATTTCGTATCTCTGCCAACAAAAGATTATTATTAATTTTGATGACTACTTAATATTTATAAGTAGGTGAAGTAAAATAATCAAAAAACTATCATCATGCTGACAATACTTAAGTAGCCCGTTCAATAATTTTACCAACTGAAGTTAAAAAAACAATTTATCATACAGAATATATGGTACATTGTTCTTAAAACCTTTAAAATGTTGTTTTTTTCATTTGTGGTGGAACACTTTCAATGTACAAGTCAAGCTGGATGTCACACTCTTAGGACTTATATTAGTCAATAGTGACAATTCATTCAACGAATTCGGAAGTTTAAGCTAATTTTTTTTAGTCAAGACATCAGTTGATCCTTTAGTGTTTTGCCGAGATTTTACCAACTTTAAGAGAATTTCTGAACACAGCTATCTCGATTATTACTGAATCGATTTCAATTCTTTAATTATTTTCTATATGAACACGCCATTTTATTTTATTTAAACACATAAATATTGATTAGCAGAAGCTGTGCTGGATCGTTGATGCGCACTGCTGAGGAGTCCCATAATAGGATGAATTGGCCGTCCAGTGCTTCCAGATTTTCCTTGGTGGTCTAGCTTCAATTGACTCACTCTTTCAACATAAATATTGGTACAAGGGGCTACCAGATATATACGCGCCGCACAAATCTCATTTGATTTGTTTGAGGGCTATGATGCTCCCCAGGTGCCCAAACTGAAGCAGGTGATTATCTTAGGAGGACACACCCGGATCCTTTGACCTAAGGTTTGATCCATAAGGCAGTGGAGCAACATAATGAGATGCAGTCCCATGGCAGCCGATGACCAACGATTGATTCATACGCCATTTGTTCCGTCAGGATACTGGAACCCATGTGCACCATTGGTTTAGAATCAGGGTTTCGCAACTCCTCTAGGTGAACTTTCCATGTCCATCAACCCGGTTAAAGCGCCGGACATTCTCCTTTTGTCCTCTCAATTTCGTAAACAACAGTAATGCCACGAGAAGGCAGTGAGTAGGACTTCCCTGACAGAGGCTGTACATACGTGTGGCCATGTGAGAGCATTTGGAGAGGGAGAGCGAACTCACCCCACTCTCAGCTGTATCATGGCATTTGGGGTCAACATTGTGATACAAGACGTTACAGACACACTTGATGTTTACATTAGCATAAGAATTCGGAAGTCGTTCACAACTAACAACTTTATTAGGTTAACAAATGAATTTAGTGAATAGGCTATGCATATATCAGTGATTTTTGATCTTCTATCAACTAATAGACATAAGATCTTATAATCAGGTTCACTTATTACCTGCTGTATTAAATAATGAATGTTTTTTTTGAAAATAAATGGGTAGACTGGTAAGTCTGTTCATAAAGCTCAATAATTCAGTATGAAGAAAAGTTTATCAGGACTATGTCATTTATTAACGCAACATATTGCGAGCAATCTAAACATATATTTTTAATATTATGGCGTTTTTTAAATGAAAGATAAAAGTCATTTAAAAGAACATAGGTATCGTTCATCTGCTCATATTCAGTGGATCTGGTCTATTCAAGAGTTCCTCAAAATGTTCAACCCATCTGTTCCTTTGTTCTTGAATCTCAACGATTGGCTTGCCCCCTTTGTCCTTTACTGATCTAGAAGGGGGTTTGTGGAGATTTCAGTATAATTTCAAAGTTGAAATCATGAGTCAATTGAAACTAGACCACCATCGAGAACCTGGAAGCACTGGACGGCCGTTTCGTCCTATTATGGGACGCCTCAGCAATGCGCATCCAAGAAACCGCTCTTGCGAGCGAGATTCGAACCCAGAACCTACCAGTCTCGGGCCGAAGCCCTTAACCGATAGACCACTGAGCTGGCATCCAACGGTGTTAATGTCTAACTTCAACTGATCCACGAAGTTGAGCAACCATTCACCAATTGTCTTCAGTGAATTGATATCTCACTGATCTCTCTGGTTTACTATATTTCCCTACTAATTTCTTCGTTGTGTCATACAGCCGTTTCATATCTCCTTCTCTTGTAGCTTTTTCCGCTGTCGTTGCTAGGTTCTCCACGCATCTTCGTTTGTCGGCTATAATATTCCTCTTCACTCTCATGTTTGCTTCTATTTATTCAGTCTGTGATATGATTTTTTCTGCTCTTGTTCGGCTGTTGCTAATTGCTGCCTTCTTGTTCTTCCTTTTTTGAATCTTATTCAGGGTTTCCGTAGAGATCTATTCCTTATGATGATGTTTCTTGCAGCCCACCAGATTCTGGCAAGTTGAAGTCAGTGCTTCTTTGATTTCTTTCCAGTTGATCTCCATCATAGTTTCCCTTTCTTATAGTGCATATTTTAAGGCTTGGGACCTATTTTTGAGACCTATCTTGAATTCCTTGTGTTTGTTAGTATGTCAAAGGAAGGCTATATTGAACCTTTGTAATGCTGTTTCCCCAGTTGTATAATGTTTCTTTAGCTTCAGTTTCGTCTTAGCAACAACCAGGTAGATGGTAATCTGAAGCTATGTCATCTTTTCTCCTGATTCTCACAACCTTATGAAGTTTTTAGTGATACAAATATGATTGGTCTGGTTCTGTGTAGTGTGATCCGGTGAGACCCATGTTGCTTTGTGTATATGTTTGTATGGAATATTTTGTGTATATAACCGTTCCGTTGAATGCATATAAATTTGTAAACCGGTCGTTTCTTTCTTCTATTCAGTCCATACCGCCCCATGATATCTTGATACCCAGTGTTGTCTATTCCAACTTTTAGGTCTCTCATCAGGATGGTCAGGTAGTTTCCTGGGTACTTCGCTATGATTGATCGCTGCCTCGAGTAAAACTGATCTTTATAATCGTTATTGCTATCATTGATGGGTGCATAATATTGGATAACATTCATTGTGATCCCTTCTTTCTTTTTTGAAGGATGCTTCGATGATCCTGAATCCATGAGATTCCCATCCTTTAAGTGCATTTCGTCCTTTGTTGAACAGCATCAAAGCAACTCTTTGCGCGTGTGAAGCATTTTCTTATTTATAACCAGAATACAATGGCATCCCTTCCAAATCCATCCTCTTCTGCACAGCTTGGGTTCAATGGGTTTCCCTTATTTTGAGCACGGTCGACTTGTGTCTTCTCATTTCTATATCTATTTGACTAGTCCTCTCAGTCTCTCACATAGTCCAGACATTCCGTGCACCTATATTAATTGTTGCTGTGGTTGTTAAAAGGGATATCGTGAAGAAGAAAATAAAAAATGAAGACATAAAACCATTTTCAAAAAATCCTCACATTTTTGTTGTTTTTTTGTTGTCGTAAAGTCACCTATTACAGTTTGTGGTGGTCGGTATTAGGTATAATTCTTAGACTTCTTATACTGCTCGTCCTGATAACCGTTACTAGATAACACCCAACGGTGTATAAATCAGAAGACGAATACGAAGCGTTGAGTACGTTCATTATCGTACCACACACAGATCACCAAAACCACAGGCACACAAAGCAAGAGTGATTTGCGAGTACCGAAGCGCTAGCGAGCTAGTGAGTCGATGAGCAAGATCAAAATGTACATATTTGAGTCATCGAATCATTTCAGCGAATAACACTAAAGCTAGCAGAATGAGTATGAACATAGGTGGTAAGCATTGCTCAAGCTTACATATTCCTACAAGCGCAACAATAGTAAAGGTACAATGGTGTAGACAATCTGTTATTGTACGAATGACTCTATCTGTTACATAAGTTAATAAAAAGGCACCATCAAACTTCAGTTAGCATAATGTGACTTGTTGGTAGTATTAGTTTTGGATTGATCTTAATTAACATACCATTGAGAGCACTGAAAAGCTGTGTCATCATGCTTTGAAGCTCTTTGTCAACAGACATTGATAACCAGCGCATTGATGTAAAAACATCGAGTTTCGATCCATCGGATTACATTTATAACTTAATTTACTTCATAATAATAGCACGATGATCCTTCACTGACGTCTGTGATGACTGCCACACTCCTTAATTGAATGAAATACATCAGTCATAACTTCTTACTAAACTTTTCGCGAACCGTATTCAGACTAATGACTCACCACTTTATTTTATCTGTTTACCTTAATTATGTTTCGAAAGATAACTTTACACTTCTGAACATGATATAACAATTGACTGTTGATTGATCATATTCTCTTCTATCATACAGAATATAAAATATGCCAAGAAAATCAATCGGTGCAAATCAAATGACAGTTATCAAGAAAAAAGTAAGTGATGTATGTATGTATGTATTGCTTACGCTTGTCACCCTCATACAGGAACATGGGCCACAAACCAGCATTCTCCATCCAACTCTGTCCAAAGGAATCCTTCTTCATGTTTTCTTCCAATTCCCGACGTAATGTGTTCTTCGACCTTCCTCTTTACCTTTTTCCTTTCAGAATTCCAAGTTAGTGCTTGTTTCGTGATTCGTTTTAATGATTTCCTCAATGTGTGTCCTGTCCATCTTCTGCGTCATTTCCTAAGTTCCTCTTCAGATAGAAAGTTGGTTTGTTTTCTCCTACAGTCGGCTGTTGCTGATTGTATTCAGTCAATGGACATTAAGTATCTTGAGTAGACAATTATATATCAATACTTGTACATCACTGATGATGGTTGTGGTAGTTCTCGAAGTTTCAGCTCCATACAGTAGAACTAACTGTCTTGACGTTCGTATTGAAGATTGTAATTTTGATATTGGTAGTCAGTTGTTTTAAGTTTTATATGTAATAAGTCTTGCTAATTGAACGCTATACTCGGATCCTAAGCTAGTCTCGTAACCCCCAAGCTAGAACCAGACAGCGACTTGAACACGAGAGAAAAGGCGCAAAATATGAGAAAAGCATTTTACTTCAAAGGCTCATTCATGTACAGAAAATATAGGGCTTTTATAGTATTTAAGAAGACCTTGATTTTTCCTGAAAATTCTGGAATGCTACTAAACATAGTAGCAGTGTAGTAATCAACCAATCAGGAACTCTACATGTAACTTTTCACTTTCGTGATGTTTCTAGCAAAACTTCTAGTCAAATACTGATTGGATAAAATGCTTCTTAATGTTTCCTGGGCCTTTGTCTATTGCAAGAAATTTTCAAGATCGCCCCAACAATATGTTTTTCAACTGTAGGAATGAGGCTCTTGCTTTGTCATTCTCCGTGTTGTATTTGAGGATCTTGTTTTTCCCCTTGTGTACGTTGAGGTCTACTGATGTAAAGACTGTTGCTACAATGATGTATGTATGGTTCCTCTATTGTTAACTAACTATAGTTACCTGCTTACTTAATCATGTTGCCCTTCTTGATGGAGCATAAGCCTGTCACAAGGATTCTCCATCGAAGCTAACTACGGGTTGAGGGATAAATATATGCCCAAAGTAAACAGTTAATGAGAATGCTGTAAATGTATTTATTCAACATAACTTGACTACTTATTACAAATAATAAGTAGTTTAAACTTTGTAAGTTATTTTATTTACAAGATTGAAAGTATGGGAGTTTTGTATTCGTTCATTTGGAAGTGTGGACTGGTACATTCAGAATTGATTTAGTGTCGACTACAGCTCTGCTCCTAAAACTGTCGAAATTCCCTAAGAACATATAGGAATCGAACAAGTTCCATGTTTACATCCAAGTAACTTATTATCTCATACAACATGGATCCAGAAAAAACGCCTTATGATTGAGATTAACTTCGATCCTATACAGATATCAAATTATCAAAATACAAAGACTTTTGCTAATTTTGCCGATCTAAAGGCAAGTAGAATATTAGTTAAACAATTACAAAATATTTGGATGGTTTATTAATAATAAGAAGATTATCAGAACTATCTAATCTATTTGAGCAATACATTTCGAATAATCTGATTACATATATGCTTATTAAAAACATTTATATATCGAAAATAGAAGGTCGACTAGATATATGCAAGTTAAAACGAAACAAAGTTAATAAATAAACTCACCACGCTGGACAATAAACTAACATTACGAGGGTAGGCCTAAGGTGAGAACAAACTGTCTTTGAATAAATAAAAGGGGCTTGAATTTTCTCATGACCCAGGCTTTAACAAACTTTAGCATACGCTTTTTAACTCTTTTGTACAAAAGTTGTGTTAAGACCAATATTACGACCTGTTTCAACCATATGTTTGCTAATAGAGGATGATGAATGTGTGTATCATCTATTCTTATTGAGTCATTTGATTTTATTTGTTTTTGCGACAATTTGAGTACATGTTCACGAGATCACGATTACTCCTATTTATGTATGTGTGATCACACACACAGTTAAATTGGTAAAGTAATAACGAAATGTTGATATTTCAATAATCGAGTTCATGAGTCTATCTATGCTAGACCACCATTGGAAACCTGTCGGGCAGAGACAGGCATCTGCCTCAGACAATGGATGAATGATTGCGCAAGATCATGGATTTATTGAAGTTATACATCAACACCGTTGGATGCTGGCTCAGTGGTCTAGAGGTTAAGCGTTCGCGCGCGAGACTGAAAGACCTAGGTTCGAGTGCTGCATGCAGGATCGTGGATGCGCACTGATGATAAGTCATATACTAGGATGAAACTACCATGCAATGCTTCCAGGTTTTCAGTGGTGGCCTAGCATATATCGACTCTTGGATTTGACTACTAAAAATAATTACAGTCCCCACAAACCCTCATTCTAATAGAAATGTTGATACTCTGAACGTTATATTATTCATCAGTTGATGTTAAATGGTAAACTTTCCGAAAACTAGGAATTAGTAAATAAGCATCACTTTCCAGATTGAGATTCTTCAGTTTTATATATATACAATGCCGATTGTATTCAACTCCAGAATTCTGTTAATCAAAGCAAGTTCATTCAAATTACCTCAAAGTCATTGACTTAATTGTCATGTAGAACAAAGTGATTTATCAAGAACCTTTAGAAAGTACAACATCTTAACTATATATGGTCGACTTTGAGTAACACACTTCTTACATGAAATCACATCAAACTAAACAATTACCAAAAACCGAAACTTGGGGATCAGGATTTAAACACAAAATATTGCTTACTTACTTACGCTTGTTACTCTCAACGGAGCATAGGCCACCGACTAGCATTCTCTAACCCACTCTGTTCCCCGCCTTCCTTTCTAGTTCTATCCTAGTTTTATTCATTCTTCTCATGTGTGTCTCCATTTCTCGGCGTAATGTGTTCTTCCATCTTCCTCTTTCCTTTTGGCCTTCAGGATTCCAAGTGAGGGCTTGTCTTGTGACACAGTTGGATGATTTCCTCAATGTGTGTCCTATCCACTTCCAGCGATTCTTCCTCATTTCTTCCTTCGCTGTGTGTGATCTGGTTTGTTCTCTCCCACAGAAGAATGTTGCTGATAGTATCTGTCCAACGGATCCGAAGTATTTTGCGAAACACAACACACAAAATATGATGACCGCAAATAAATCATTTTAGCCAATCAAACACTATCTTAGTCCTGAAGTTACCATAATTCGAATAGCATTCTTTCCTGGAATTTTACATATCAACCAAATACTTATAAGGTTGATGGTAGAAACTCTATATAAATTCACAGTTTAAGTGTTTAAATATAACAGTTAAAGTTAAAATAGCATCATGATGGGCTAACATTTCTCAAGTTATCTCAATGATATTTCAGTGAACGAAGAACTCAGGTGATAGAAACCAATTTGTTGATTGATCATAAATTAAAGAGTGTTTTCACAAAATATAAAAACCATACATTAAATATGGTAAGTAGAGATGGGTAGTGACTAGCAGTGGAATCCAGTTTGACGCGCGTTCCGTCCTATTTGGGACTCGTCAGCTAGATGTACCTGCATCTCAGATTTGATATTCACTCCGGGACTCGAACTCAGTACCATCGGTTGAAACGCCATCACGTTATCCACTCGGCCACTGAGTCCTGATAGCCACTTGCTTGTGGGATGGGGTGAAGTCTAAATTCATTTAGTATTGTTTGTTTGAATCTTCCCATAGATGTGTTAGGACTGCAACTGGTCAGTCTCTAATTGGAACATGTACATACTGTACGTATTACCTCGATATAGCCTTAATTCACAAGCATGGTAAGGCTATATCGAGGCGATACGTACAGTATGTACATGTTCCAATTAGAGACTGACCAGTTGCAGTCCTAACAAATCGATGGGAAGATTCAAACAAACAATACTAAATGAATTCATACATTGAATACATTATTTTCAAATCTTCCTCCACTTATCTTTTACATACTTCATGATTCTTTCAACTCTGTTGTTATTATAGTTGCTTTTTGTTTCCCTATCTGTTTTCTTCAATGGAATCTTCTCAATCTTCTGCTGGCAGGTATTTCACTTCCAATCGGTATTACATACTACTTATATTTATCAACATAAGTAGCATACACCACAATATCACTAAGTACTACTGATCTGACCATATTTAGGCAATCTAAACTAAACCGCATAGAATCATTCTATATAAGTTCATTTAGTATTGTTTGTTTGAATCTTCTCATCGATGTGTTAGGACTGCAACTGCTCAGTCTCTAATTGGGACTCATCAGCTGGATGTACCTACATCTCAGAGTTGATGTTCACTCTGTGACTCGAACTCAGTACCTTTCGCTTCAAACGCCATCGCGTTATCCACTAGTCCACTGAGTCCTGACAGCCACATATAGATATCAGGTTATAATAAGACTAGTTGCTTAAATTTTCTTATTGATTTTATATACTTACTAAACTCTTGATTGATCTCTAAACACTCATTTTAGCTGTAATTTACTTAAGAACTATTTATCCAAATTTATAATTTATATCTGGTTAAAGTGTATACCAATTAAAAAGGAGTTGACCTTAAATACTTTGTTATTATCATGCTTAATACATTGAAAAACCTAATTATAGTTCCTCTACATTTAATTCATCTTGTTTCTCTTTGAATGACATGATCAATTGTACTTTTAAGGTGTTATAATTGCACTTTTAGATGTAGAAAAGTAACCGACCATGAGCGTTTTATGATGTGAAACACCAAAGCAATTGATGATGATGATGATGATGATGATGATGATGATGATGATGATGATGATGATGATGATGATGATGATGATGATGATGATGATGATGATGATGATGATGATGATGATGATGATGATGATGATGATGATGATGATGATGATGATGATGATGATGATGATGATGATGATGATGATGATGATGATGATGATGATGATGATGATGATGATGATGATGATGATGATGATCTTTATATCTTAGACTTACTATTATCGAGAACGTGTTAGGTTATTGGTGATTACTGCTAACTAACCCAGACTAGGATGAAGAAGCTGTCGCTTGTTACCTAGATTTCCGTAGTTATTTAACTGTTATCAATCCACGATGAGAATTAATGCAATAGAAACTACTGAGAGCGATCAATAAGTAGTGTTCAATACCGTGTTTGTCTAATATTTATTGTTATTCAAATCAATACATAAAAGGGTCTCTAGCCTCAAAGACTAAACATCTCGTGCATCATGATCCATAGAATTTGATCAGTACTAAGGATCAGAAAAACATTATATTAGTCAATATTCTCTGATCAGTCAATTCAAATCTTTCACTCTTATAAAAGATCGATGTCTCTCTCTCAACTTAGTAATGTTCATGACTAAGACACTGGGACTGACTTGGTCACTTTGCAAAAAGAAGATGATCAAGATCCATGGAAATCTTTATTCTCTTGAATGAGGTGAATAACCCTTACTTATTTCAAATTGGTAATATTTTCATTTCCTATATACCAGTTGAGTTTATGAAAGTATATGATTCGTCTAATCTTATAGAGATAGGTAATCGATTAGAACTGATCGGTACAGTAATGACCTAGGTTTAAATACGATAGGAACTGGTAACCCCCTCCCCCTCTATTCCTGATACATCTCAACTAGAATGAAATCCAGATCTACTGTTTCCCCTTTATTTCCATAAATTATCTGTGATTGATTCATTGAAATCAATTAGTTAAATTAAATTTAATAATTACAGGATTCTCAATTAATTTAATTGTATATTTATTCATTTAATTAATAATAATAAATAAAATTAAGAATACAGGTAGGGGGGGTATTTTTTCTTTAAACTTATCTGAATGAAAGTAAAATGTGTTTCAAGGTTATTTCCAAGGTATAATTTAAAGATAACAGATCAAACAATGATAAATATAAACTGAAATAAATACTATACATCCATAATATATTCGTTTGGAAATCAACCACAGATGCCTTAGAAATATTGCTCGCATCTGCTGGGATCACCGGGTAAGTAATAATAGTGAGGTTAGGCACAGGGTATTAGGGAATGATGATGGTAAATCAGTTAATGAGGTTATGAATCTTCATCGACTGAGATGGTTGGGCCATGTGTTACGTATGCCTGAACACCGATTACCACGACGCACTATGCTGACTAGTGTAGGGGATGGTTGGAAGAGAGTTAGGGGCGGCCAAACTGAAACGTGGCATCATAGCTTGAGGTCACTAACTTGTAGTCTGAGCGATGTAGGTGGATGCAGACTACTTGATTGGGGTCCGAGTGACTATCGTGACAAACGATTGGAGACTCTGTGTGACATGGCTGAGAATCGATCACAATGGCGTAGGTGTATACACTCTTCATCTTTCCTTAAACCCTGAGGTTAAAATTGCTTCATATCTGTCTTTCTTTCTGTACTATATCGTCATATACAACCTTTCTTTTATATATTACCACCACTAAATTAACTACTTCTATGAATCTGGTGTTGATCTTTTTGTGCTAATGAGGTATGGTAACTTGGACCGATGCATATATGTGCTTGGTCCCACTTTGTAGCTGACTGACTGAGTAAGTTTGGAAATATGTACTAGTGAGAACTGACAATTGAACATAAGTAAAAAGGGTGAGATTATAATTTATGAATGACGTTTAAGCAACTTTAAAGTGACCTTGAGGATGTACACCTACGTGCTAGTGCTAAATGAATATTATGTAACAATTTGAAGAATAAGGATTATGATTTATAATTGATGGTTAGGGTTAGAAATTAGATTTATGGTTTAGATTACGAAATGATATCAGCTAAAATGTTAAAACGATATTTAGACAAACTGATGAATGAATTTTATGTCAAAATCCAAGACCTGTTATCTTAAATTTGATTTGTTCGTTCGTTCATAAATTATGATCTCCCCGCAAAAAAGATCAACACTACTGGAATATTGAATTGAAACGCAGCAGTTTACAATCAGTTACTCAATATCCTTACAGTCTCCCTTTTTTCTATAAACAATCTCATAACACACTTCATTTAAGCCTAAATCAGATTAGCTAGAAACCTGAAGAATTTTCATAAAATTTGCAAGAATATAGTATTCACTTAACTCCGCCTGTAGCTCTTCTAGAGTTACTGCCGGTCTCAAGCCCGGGTAAAGGAGAAGGGTTGAACATAGGGTTAGCGACCCCATCCCGTAGAAAAACTAACTCGCTAAAAAAAACGCTAACCAGAAAAGCAATTCAAACCAGTCTTCACTTAATTTTCTTGATCATTAGTCTCTACAATCGTAAATAATCGATATGTAAACTTACGCTGCTATCCATATCGAAAACGATGTTACTGGATTTACTAATCAATTTAACTACAATCCATTTTATATAGTTGAAATCATGAGTCAATTCAAGCTAGACCACCATAGAAAACCTGGAAGCACTGGACGGCTGTTTCGTCCTATTGTGGAACTCCTCAGTAGTGCACATCTACGAACCCGCTTCAAGAGATTCCAACCTAGGACCTATCAGTCTCGCGTGCGAGCACTCAACCACTATACCACTGAGTCGTCATCCAACGGTGTTAATGTCTAACTTCAACCAATCCTAGAAATTGAGTAACCATTCACCAATGTCTTCAGTGAGTTGATATCTTCCGACAGTCTTGGTTGGACTCCACTGGTTACTGCTTCTCACTAGAACTCTATTTGAATAAATACATATCATGTGATCATGTTGTACAGATTTCTTTCAATTATACATTTGAACTATGTTACACTTTAATGATAATACGAACTTAGAAACTATAGATTAGTATGAATGAATAAATGTTCAATAACAAAGCAAAATGAAATATTGACCTAATTTGGGTAAATTACGAAGAAAACTTTCCATCATAAAACGCTAATGATGTTGAAGTAAATTTGTAATAATCATGATCAATTTTAGTTGTAGCCTTGTATCGAACTACATTTAGATTGTATGAATGATTTTTACCGAAATATACATACCGACAACTGTTATATATGATTAGTGACTTAAATGTCCTTAGTGAATAAGGGAATTAAAGAAAGTAAATACAATTGGTGATCCAGAAAAACGATCAATAAACAAAGCAAAGAAAGAGAAGAGGGGAAGGAACGAAGCGAAAAGGATCGGAAATGGCATATGAGCTAATTAGATTTAACCAAGCGTAACTCAATATTTATAGTTAGACAAAACAGGTTACAGATATGTAGTGAGTAGATTGAGCGATTAACACACACGCTGATATAAATGCAAAGTTAATAAGGAAATAATCAACAAGATAGATATGTGAATTAAGAAGAATGAATAAATTGGTCTACCTAGAATCTAGAATATCCCATGTGGGCTTGATATGGTACTAGACATTAAGAATTTATTCTAATAATTTTACAGTGAAACTGTGAACAAAAAGGTGAAGATAAATATAAATAGTTGAAAGCGTGAGTCAATTGATGCTAGACCATCATGGAAAACCTGGAAGCACTGGATGGCCTTTTCGTCTTATTATGGGACTCCTCAGCAGTGCGCATCCACGAGGAGTCCCATAATAGGACAAAACGGCCATCCAGTGCTTCCAGATTTTCCATGGTGGTCTAGCATCAATTGACTTACGCTTTCAACTATGAAAATACTAAATCTCCACAAAGTCCTTCTGATAAATATAAATAGTAAGTAAATGAGCATCAGTATCCTCATGTATTCATTCACTTTGATAAACTAGATGGTAATAAAAGACCGATTGAACACGTTTTCTTCAGGGCAATGGTGAAAGTGTATATTCACCTTTGATATACTATGTATAAAAAGCATTCAAGAATAAGATGGTGGTTGCAGGTGGTCAACAGGAAACTCTGGACCCGGATTTCGTGCAACTTGGCACTTGTCAGCAAGCTGTAACTGTAATCTTGAGGGAACTGGTGCTTTCTGACGGATTCAACCCCGTGTCACTCAGCTTTACAGTCAGAGACGTTACCACTGAGCTATTCGGGCCACGACCGACCTCTTGTAGTCACATTTGATTGATCACTGGGTAGTGATCAATGTCATGCGTGTCAAGTCCTTCTTAGTGCTGATCGAATGCTATCGATCAGGTTGCAATGTGGCCACTAGTCTAGGTGGCTCGACACTAATCGATAGCATTCGATCAGCACTAAGAAGGACGTGACACGCATGACATTGATCACCACCCACTGATCAATCAATTGTGATAGCATTCAAAAATACTAACTCACAAATAGTTTTGTTACAGACAAGTAAACTGAGGCATCAGTTTGTTATCAGTACCAGGAAAAGTTTTCAACAGAGTGCTGCTGAATCGGATGAAAGACGCAGTAGACGCCGAACTTAGGGATCATCAGGCTGGATTCCGTAAGGATAGGTCGTGCACAGACCAGATTGCGACACTACGGATCATCGTTGAACAATCAGTTGAGTGGAACTCATCACTATACGTCAACTTCATCGACTATGAGAAGGTGTTTGACAGCGTGGATAGGAGAACATTGTGGAAACTTCTTCGACACTATGGTGTTCCTCAGAAGATCGTCAACATTATCCAAAACTCATACGATGGATTACAGTGCAAAGTGTTGCATGGAGGACAGCTGACAGATGCATTTCCAGTAAGGACCGGAGTCAGACAAGGCTGTCTACTCTCCCCATTTCTCTTCCTTCTAGTGATTGACTGGATTATGACGAATTCGACATCTGAAGGGAAATACGGAATACAATGGACTTCTCAGAATCAATTAGATGATTTGGACTTCGCAGATGACCTAGCCCTCCTCTCTCATACACACGACCAAATGCAGATGAAGACAACAAATGTAGCAGCAGCCTCCGCATCGATAGGCTTCCACATTCACAAAGGAAAAAGCAAGATTCTCAAATGCAACACGGAGAACACCGACCCAATCACACTTGATGGCGAAACTCTGGAAGAGGTGGAAACATTCAAGTACCTGGGGAGCATCGTTGATAAACAAGGAGGATCGGATGCAGATGTAAAGGCGAGGATTGGCAAAGCAAGGGCAGCATTTCTACAATTGAAGAACATATGGAACTCAAAACAACTGTCAACCAATTTCAAGGTCAGAATCTTTAATACGAACGTCAAGACAGTCCTACTGTATGGAGCTGAAACTTGGAGAACTACTACGGCCATCATCAGGAAGGTACAAGTATTTATAAACAGTTGTCTACGCAAAATACTCAACATCCATTGGCCGGATACTATCAGCAACAGCGTTTTATGGGAGAGGACAAACCAGCTTCCAGCTGAAGAGGAAATAAGGAAAAGACGTTGGAAGTGGATAGGACATACATTAAGGAAATCACCAATGTGCATCACGACTCAATCCCTAACTTGGAATCCGGAAGGGAAGCGGAAGAGAGGAAGGCCAAAGAACACACTACGCCGGGAAATAGAAGCCGATATGAAAAGGCTGAATAGCAACTGGAAAGAACTGGAAAGGAAGGCTCAGGACAGAGTTGGATGGAGAATGCTGGTGAGCGGCCTATGCTCCTCGACGAGGGGTAACAGGCGTAAGTAAGTAAGTAAGTAAGTAAACTGAGAAACGTAAAGAATATTCATTAAGTTTTGATAAATTAGCTACGTAATATGTTGAGACATAACCCAACTAGTTTCAACCGTATTATTGATCATTGAAGGTAAAGATAAGTAGATACTAATGGCAATTCATTATCAATTTACACCTAAATGTAATTTCAGTAGGCTGTATAAAAAGTCCTTGCTTTGAACAGCCTGTTAGTCATAATATCATTTGCTTGTATTGACAATCAATGTTGTGTACAAGATAACAATAAAAGTCATTTACGATCTACAATTATTCTCAAATATAAGGGCTGGGGATAAACTCAACGTTGTCAAGTCATCTAAGTGTATCGTAGTTAGTAATGATGGTTTTGGTTTCAATTATTTATTTACTGAATTGTAAATATTTTGGAACAATTTTATAGAATTAATTAGAGGTATGACTTTTGCTACGTTGCATTTCTTCTATCATGACTAAGCTCCCAAATGCCCTGGTAAGGACGAGAGTGAAAAAAGTCCACTCTCCCTCTCGAAATGCTTTCACATGACCACGCGTATATAGCCTCTGACAGGGAAGTCCTACTCACTGCCTTCTCACACCAGGGGTGTTGTTTACGAAATTGAGACAACGATAACCGAATTTCCGGCGCTTTAACCTGGTTGGTGGACACGGAAAGTTCACCTACGGGGGTTTGAAAAACCTTGATTTCAAACCAATAGTGCACATGGGTTCCACTATCCCGAGGGAACAAACGGCGTATGAATCAATCGTTGGTCACTGGCTACCATGTGACCGCATTTCCTTACGATGCTCCATTGCCTTGTGGATCAGACCTTCAGATCGAAGGCTCCGGTTGTGGTCCCCTAAGAAAACCACCGGCTTCGGTCTTGGCACCTGGGTAGTATCCAAGCCCTCACATAAATCAAATAAGATTTGTGTGGTGCATATGTATATGGTGCACCTTTGTATCAATATTCATGTGCTCAAATAAATAAATAAATAAACACGTCCATAGTATGATGGAGTGGTGTTTTCATCCTAGAAAACTTGAAAATTTTCATGTAAGCCAGCAAAAAAAACAATGAACGAACACGCCTTCCATCATGGACTAAGATAATGTAAATAATTCCCGTTTCATTTTGATTAGTTGCCAGGTTCAAGATTAAAATTACGAACGAGAGTGAAAGTGCAAGTTAAGACGAAACAAAGTTCATAAAGAAAATAATGTGAAAGTCACTACACTGGATGTTAATCAATATAACTAAGATTGGTAATAAGGTGGGGCTAAAATGTTTTGAATACATAATTAGAGTTTGAATTTTCAAGTGAATAAGGCTTCAATTAACCTAAGTATACGCCTTAGATTAATTAGTACAAAATTACAAAGAATGAGTTAAGATTAACCATACGACTTATTTCTGTTGTGTTTAGCAATTTTATTTATTTATTTATTTAAACACATAAATACTGGTACAAAGAAGCACCAGATACATATGCGCCACACAAATCTCATTTGATTTGTGTGAGTGCTGTGATACTGCTTGGCTGCCCAAACCGAAGCAGGTGGTTTTCTTAGGTTGGAGCCACACCCGGAGTCTTTGACTTAAAAATCTGATCCACAAGGCAGTGGAGCGACATAATGAGATGCAGTCCCATGGTAGCCGGTAACCAACGATTGATTCATACGCCATTTGTTCCCTCAGGATACTGAAGTCAATGTGCACAATTGGTTTGAAATCAGAATTTCCCAACTTCTCTAGGTGGATATTCCATGCCCACCAACCAGGTTAAAGCGCCGGAAATTCGGTTATCGTCGTCTCAATTTCGTAAACAACACCCCTGGTGTGAGAAGGCAGTGAGTAGGACTTCCCTGTCAGAGGTTATATAAGCGTGGCCATTTGAGAGTATTTGGAGAGGGAGAGCGGACTCTCCCCACTCTCAGCCGTACCAGAGCATTTGGGGGCAATAGCAATATCAATAGAGGATAATGAATACTTATCATCTCCTTTTATTGGATTAGTTGATTTTATTTATTTCTATAGCCCATTCAATACATGTACAAAAGCTCTAATCTACATGCAAACTACCATTCTTATTCCCTATGTATATGTGACCAAACACAAATATAAATACAGTGGAATGTAATGCAATCATTTAAATATCATTCTAGTTTTCGATAAAGCATAGACCTTACTTTTTTAATAATCTATTATATTCACTATATAGTATAATGATTGTGGGTGTTTAATACTGTCATTGGTGCGTTCATTTATCGATTGCACTTTATCCTAGATACTTGTAAAACATCCCATTATGAATTAGTTCCTCCCAAAAAAAGGGATACGATTAATTTCATTTAGTGATCACTTATCTAAGTGAATAAAAAACTAAATCTTTTCTTATATATTTGATCACAGTAAGTCAATAAGATTAACTCCTCATGTTGATATATTCCTCTTTCGACCCATATTCAATTACGTAATCGGTTAAAAATATATCGATTAAACATTAAAATACTGAATAGGGAAGGTTTATATTCCAATTTAATATTTATCATCATTGAAAGCGTGAGTCAATTGAAGCTAGACTACCATGGAAACACTGAACGGCCGTTTCGTCCTATTATGGGACTCCTCAGCAGTGCGCATCCACGAACCTGCTCTCGCGAGCGAGATTCGAACCCAGGACCTACCAGTCTCGAGCCGAAGCTCTTAACCGATAGACCACTGAGGTTAAGAGCTTCGGCTCGAGACTGGTAGGTCCTGGGTTCGAATCTCGCTCGCGAGAGCAGGTTCGTGGATGCGCACTGCTGAGGAGTACCATAATAGGACGAAACGGCCGTCCAGTGTTTCCAGGTTTTCCATGGTAGTCTAGCTTCAATTGACTCACGCTTTCAACGATGATAAATACTAATTCTCCACAAAACCCCTTCTATAATTAATTTAATATTTGTCAAAGTAATTTGAGTATACATACTATAGAATTTTAAAGCCTATTAATTATTTATTAACCATATCTGATGTTCTGTCTCATTATTGCAAACAATCTGGATATTTTAAATGAATAATATATTTGTAATATCTCAATGATACCGGCTCAATGGTCTAGTGGTGAAGCGCTCGCGCACGAGACTGATAGATCCTGGGTTGTAATCTCGCGAGGCAGGATCGTGGATGCGCACTGTTGAGGAGTCCCACGATAGGACGAAATAGCCGTCCAGTGCTTACATATTTTCCATGTTGGTCTAGCTTCAATTGACTCATGATTTCAGTTATAAGATTACTGAAATCACCACAAAAATTGTCTTGTGATATCTCATCGAATAGAAAAATTAGATTTTCTGACGTTTCGTGACTCAGTTTAGGCTACTTCTTCAGAGAATAAATGACCAAATTAAAATTAATCCAAGTTTAAATAGTGCAACGGAACAACGCAACAATATTGTGTGATCAGCCAAAAAAACAAACCTGAATAAATGAATGTCATGTCATTTCGGTTGAAGTGATTCATAAGCGACATGTATGTGAATTTTGAGATGGCGGAGATTTGTAGCTCAGATGGATGATTTTGATAGAGTTCTATTCTCTGAGCTGGATGGTTTGATCGTGTAACTTTCATCATCCTTCTGAACAACATCATCGGCACATTACTTACTTACTTACGCCTGTTACCCCTCGTTGAGGAGCATAGGCCGCTCACCAGCATTCTCCATCCAACTCTGTCCTGAGCCTTCCTATCCAGTTACTATTCAGCCTTTTCATATCGGCTTCTATTTCCCTATGTAATGTGTTCTTTGGCTTTCCTCTTTTCCGCTTTCCTTCACCATTCCAAGTTAGGGATTGATTCGTGAAGCACATTGGTGATTTCCTTAATGTATATCCGATCCACTTCCAACGTCTTTTCCTAATTTCCTCTTCAGCTGGAAGCCCGTTTGTTCTCTCCCATAAAACGCTGATGCTGATAGTATCCGTCCACTGAATGTTGAGTATTTTACGTAAACAACTGTTTATAAATACTTGTACCTTCCTGATGATGGCCGTAGTAGTTCTCCAAGTTTCAGCTCCATACAGTAGGACTGTCTTGACGTTCTTATTGAGGATTCTGACTTTGAAATTAGTTGAGAGTTGTTTTGAGTCCCATGTGTTCTTCAATTGTAGAAATGCTGCCCTTGCTTTGTCAATCCTCTCCTTCGCATCTGCATCCGATCCTCCTTGTTTATCAACGATGCTTCCCAGATACGTTAATGTTCCCAGCTCTTCCAGAGTTTCTCCATCAAGTGCGATTGGGTTGGAGTTCTCCGTGTTGCATTTGAGAATCTTGCTTTTTCCTTTGTGAATGTGGAGGCCTATCGATGCAGAGGCTGCTGCTACATTTGTTGTCTTCATCTGCATTTGGTCGTGTGTATGAGAGAGGAGGGCTAGGTCATCTGCGAAGTCCAAATCATCTAATTGGTTCTGAGAAGTCCATTGTATTCCGTATTTCCCGTCAGATGTCGAATTCTTCGTAATCCAGTCAATCACTAGAAGGAAGAGAAATGGGAAGAGTAGATAGCCTTGTCTGACTCCGGTCCTTACTGGAAATGCATCTGTCAGCTGTCCTCCATGCACCACTTTGCACTGTAATCTTTTCAGGAACTCCATAGTGTCGAAGAAGTTTCCATAATGTTCTCCTGTTCACGCTGTCAAACGCCTTCTCGTAGTCAATAAAGTTGACGTATAGTGATGAGTTCCACTCAACTGATTGTTCAACGATGATCCGTAGTGTCGCAATCTGGTCTGTGCACGACCTATCCTTAAGGAATCCAGCCTGATGATCCCTAAGTTCGGCGTCTACTGCGTCTTTCATCCGATTCAGCAGCACTCTGTTGAAAACTTTTCCTGGTACTGATAACAAACTGATACCTCTGTAGTTCTCGCATTTGCTCAGATCTCCTTTCTTTGGTATCTTTATGAGATATCCTTCTTTCCAGTCCGTTGTCACTTGTTCCTCTTCCCAAATCTTTTTGAATAGAAGGTGAAGCATGTTTGCAGTTATTTCAATGTCTGACTTCAGTGCTTCTGCTGGTATATTGTCAGGTCCTGCCGCCTTCCCACTTTTGATTTGTCTGATGGCCATCTTGACTTCTTCGATCGTTGGTGGAGTGACATCTATAGGAAGGTCAGTGTATGCTGCTTCGATATCCGGTGGATTCAATGGGGCTGGTCTATTCAGCAGTTCCTCGAAATATTCTGTCCATCTTTTCCTCTGTTCTTGAATCTCAGTGATTGTCTTTCCCTCTTTGTCCTTGACTGGTCTCTCTGGTTTGCTATATCTCCCTGCCACACAGTTGTTTCATATTCCCTTCTCTTGCAGCTTTTTCCGCCGTCGTTGCTAGTTCTCCCATGTATTTCCGCTTGTCGGCTTTAATGCTTTTCTTAACTTGCTTGTTTGCTTCTGCGTAGTTTGCTTGTGCTTTGACTTTCTCTGCTCGTGTTCGGCTGTTGTCAATTGCTAGTCTCTTGTTCTTCCTTTCTTGAATTTTGTCCAGGGTTCCCAGAGAGATCCATTCCTTGTGATGATGCTTCTTAGGACCAAGAACCTCCTGACACGTTGAAGTTAGTGCTTCTTTTATCCCTTTCCAGTTGTCCTCCAAAGTAGTTTCTTGTTCTTTCAGTAGATCCTGTAGAGCTTGGAACCTGTTGTTGAGAGTTATCTTGAATTCATGGAGCTTGTGAGTATCTCGAAGGAAGGCTGTATTAAACCTTTGTAGTGCTGTTTGTCCAGTTGTCCAGTGTTTCTTAAGCTTCAGTTTCATCTTGGCCACAACCAGGTGGTGATCTGAAGCTATGTTAGCTCCTCTCCGGGCTCTCACATCTTCCATTGATCTTCGGAATTTTTTGTTGATACAGATGTGATCTATCTGGTTCTCTGTGGTGTGGTCCGGTGAGATCCATGTAGCTTTGTGTATGCGTTTGTGTGGGAATATTGTGCCGCCTATAACCAATTTGTTGAAAGCACATAGGTTTGCAAGTCTCTCCCCATTTTCATTTCTTTCTCCTAGTCCGTGTCGTCCAATTATATCTTCATATCCTGTGTTGTCCACTCCAACTTTAGCATTTAGATCTCCCATCAGGATGGTGAGGTCCTTTCTTGAGCACTTTGCTACAATTGATTGCAGCCTTTCATAGAACTGATCTTTATCATCGTCGTTGCTATCATTGGTGGGTGCATAACATTGGATAACGTTCATTGTGATCCCTTGCTTCTTTGTTCTGAATGATGCTTTGATTATCCTGGGTCCCATCCCACAAGTGCTTCTTTGGACAGCATTAGAGCAACTCCCTGAGTGTGTGGAGCATTTTCCCCTTCGTGACCGGAGTACAGCAGCATCTCTCCTGTACCTAGCCTTTGTTGTCCAGTTTGTGCACAATGGGTTTCGCTGATTCCGAGTACTGCCAAGTTGTATCTCCTCATTTCCATTGCTATTTGGCTGGTCTTTCCTTTTTCCCACATTGTCCGGACGTTCCATGTACCTATAAAGAGTGTTGCTCTGGTTGTTAGAAGGTGCATCGTTCTCGTGACTTCCGAAGAATTTCGACTTTCATCATGAGACGTCATAATTATTCCTTCTACTCCCAGGGCAGAGTTTAAATGGTTTGAATTATTTTTTCTGGTTAGCGTTTTTTTAGCGAGTTAGCTTTTCTACGGGATGGGGTCGCTAACCCCATGCCCAACCCTCCTCCTTTACCCGGGCTTGGGACCGGCAGTAACTCTAGAAGAGCTACAGGCGGAGTTATCATCGGCACATACTTTGGGTAAATTTTGATTGATCGCATATAATATTCGTGTTATTCCATTATACTATTTAAACTTGAATTGATTTTCATTTGGTTATTTATTCTCTGAAGAAGTAGCTTAGACTGAGTCACAAAACGTCAGAAAATATAATTTTTCTACTCATTGGGATAGAACAAATATATTATTTATAACAATCTACCCAATGGCGAAACTCTGGAAGAGGTGGAAACATTCACGTATCTGGGAAGCATCGTTCATAAACAAGGAGGATCGGATGCAGATGTGAAGGAGAGGATTGACAAAGCAAGGGCAGTATTTCTACAATTGAAGAACATATGGAACTCAAAACAACTCTCAACTAATTTCAAAGTGAGAAACTTCAATACGAACGCCAAGACAGTCCTACTGTACCGAGCTGAAACGTGGAAAACTACTACATCCATCGTCAAGAAGGTACAAGTATTTATAAACAGTTGTTTACGTAAAATACTCAACATTCAGTGGACGGATACTATCAGCATCAGCGTTTTATGGGAGAGAACAAACGGGCTTCCAGCTGAAGAGGAAATTAGGAAAAGACGTTGGAAGTGGATCGGATATACATTAAGGAAATCACCAATGTGCTTCACGAATCAATTCCTAACTTGGAATGGTGAAGGAAAGCGGAAAAGAGGAAAGCCAAAGAACACATTACATAGGGAAATAGAAGCAGATATGAAAAGGATGAATGTTAAGTGGAAAGAACTAGAAAGGATTTTTGAGGGTAGAGTTGGATGGAGAATGCTGGTGAGCGGCCTATGCTCCTCAACGAGGGGTAACAGGCATAAGTAAGTAACCCAATGTTTAATTTATTCGAAATTATCAAATCAAATCTTGGTAATGATACCTACAATCTGGATAATCATAAAATAATGTAAAATATTTCAATACAACTGGATAAAATTCGACAGCCTTGACCAATACGATAATATCACATGCCTATGCGCACATGCTAGTTCAGGGTCAAATTATTTACGTATTATTAATAGATGAATGTTATGAATTAAAATTCATTTTGTCTTATTTGTTTCAATCTTTTCATTTATGTTTAGGGCTGCAATTGATCAGTCTCTTATTGGCATATGTGCATCCTGTGCGGATTGTCTTGATATAACCTTAATTCACAAGCATTATAAGCAAATATGGATAGTGGCTAGTAGTAGAATCTAGGACGTGCGTTTCGGGATGCAGGTACATTCAGCTGACGAGTCTTAAATAGGGCGAAATGTACGTCCTGGATTCTTTGGTTATTAGTTAGAGTTGGCTCGATTATCCGATGAAAATACATATACAAATGCTGAGTTTATGTTTATTTCGGTTCGGTTTCCATATACAGCTTCCTATCTATTCTTAGCCTTTCCATTCAAGTACTAGGTTGGGTTTGTATATAGCAAGCGTGTATATATGAACCAGAATCCGATCATCTTCTAACATAATAGACATTCGGAATCTAAAATTTCATACTGTATGACATGCATCATCAATCTTCTGGAAGAATTGATTCTTTCCAATAAATGTCAACATACGTTATTTACTTTCCCTTTCAAGGATGTTATCACTGAGTTGTATGAAAATTGTTTCGCACGATTGATTTATTAGATGAAGACTAGTGTTTTATGAAATAGTTATCAATACTACTTAACTTCACTTAGTATTGTTTGTTTGAATCTTCCCATTGATGTTTAGGACTACAATACTAAGTGAATTTAAACTTCATCCCCATTACACAAGTAAGTGGCTATCAGGACTCAGTAGCTGAGTGGATAACGCGATGGCGTTTGAAGCGAAAGGTACTAGGTTCGAGTCACAGAGTGAACATCAACTCTGAGATTCGGGTACATCCGGCTGACGAATCCCAAGTAGGACGAAACGCTCATCGTGGATTTCACTGATGGCCACTATCTAATGCTACTTAACGTTTATTTCAGTTTGAATAGTGAATGAAATGAGTAATAAATTGGAATCCATAAAATTAGTTTGCAAATCTTCAACTCTATAATTTTATTAACTATAACCCCACTTGTTTGTCAACTTTTAAATAACTTCTTACTTTGTGAGTGATAAATTATCTAAGTTGTATGAGTTGGTGTCAGCCAATTAGGAATTGCATAGTGATAATGTCTTGACATGGTTACTGATATGCTTAGTTTATCAGTGTAAAAGAAATCTTGAAATGAAGTACACAATTCAGGAGATCGCTTCCTAATGAATCGCTCCAACTTGTAAATCATCTATTCTATGTAAGAACAACTCAGCCTAATGTAAATTGTAGAATATTTCATAATCAAATGCATTTCTGACAATTCCACTTTTTAGGGACCTTTCTAACTTAATCGAATTTGTAAGTATTCTGTTACCGTCCATCAAAGTTTATTTAGAAATATTTTGCTTATACATATAATCAGATAACCACTGGAAACGAGGAAGTACTGAATAGTCATTTTCATTCTGTCACGGGACTCCTCAGTTCCAAATAACCACGAATTCCTAAGAAGTAGGATCCAGAATCTTCATGCTTCTTTCAAATAGCACTTAATGTAGACTTTTGATTTGCTATCCAACAGTTTACATTTCTAACTTCAGTCACTTATCTACCCACAGTCAGTCTATGATGAGAACTACCAAAAGACAGAACAATCTTTAAAACCTTAATATCTAAATTATGTATAAGTTGAGAATAAATTACCATTATTTTCCATATGCACCGTCAATCAAACTAATCAAACCCAGTGTATAAAGTTACAATGAGTGTATACTACTGTTTAATTAGCTTAATGAAGAAATCAATATGGAATCTAGTGTATATACATGATAACTGTTTTATGCTGGTATACGTTTAAAAGGTTACAGAGAAAATGTCTGTCATCAAAACCGACAGTGTATCATGTAAGCCAAACTGAAAACTCGACCACTGGAGTGAATATTTAATTTGATTAGCATTATCATCATGTATAACCCACTTGATTACAGCAAGAAGTTTTCATTTAGCACACCGATTAAAGTTTAATGACATAATTTCTATAGAGATTGAGGATGTATAGTTTAATTTGTAATGAAGGAAAGCCATTTTCAATCAACCATGAGTATGAAACCCTCTAGGGAAGGTTTTGTGAAAACTGTTAACCTCACAGATTAATTTAAAGAAACCTAAACTTCGAAATTGAGAAATTCTTACAACCTCGAAAATTTTCTGATCAGTAACGTCGATTTCGTAGAGGATACTGGATCAGAGATCCTAGAGATTCAACTGTCACTGGGCGAAAATTTGAATAATCTTTTCTAGTCGACGACTGATGATTAGGAGATGTGCTCAGAATGGAATGTTATCTTATACTACCTCCATGTAGATTTGCCATTTGCTCTTGAGAAACACGTAATACAACCCATACAAAGCATGATATTTTGAAACACATTTCCAAATATTACTTTCCTTACCTGTCCAAAAGTGGTTAGAAGACCATCAGAAGCTCTATTCTTGAATATGTTATCAGCTACAATCGCATCGCCTTACAAGAAATATTTTTCAAAGTTATTTAGAAAGTTGAACGAACAAGCTCAAAGACCATATGGATCAGAAACTTGAGGTGTTTATCATTTCAAGCCTGAACTCTATATTCAATACATTGATACTTTCAATTTTTTACATCATCATGGTAATGATCCCTCCGCTCATCTTGTTATAATTCTTAATAGAAGTACATCTTTTCACTCCAACATCATCTTCATTTCTCACCTGTAACCTAATTATACCATTGATGATTTTCATTACTCTTTAGACTATTATCTAACATTTAATACTTCAGATTTCTCGATCACTTCATTAATAACATAATACCTCTCCTATTTGGTTATAGACGACTATGTATTAAGTAATTATAAATACAAGTGTACAGCTTTCGTAAACAACGTCCTGGAGGAGATTTGTTTGGTTGACTTGTCTTTATAATATGCTTTTATTATTACTTAAAGATTGGCAACAATCCTAAAAGTTTTAAGAACTATATAAAAGTACTTAATCTGATGAATGATAAGTGGTATTAACTTTTTTATAGATTTATTTATTTTATTTGAACACATAAATATTGATACAAAGAAGTACCAGATATATATATGCGCCACACAGATCTCACTTGATTTGTGTGAGGGCTTGGATACTACCCGGGTGCCCAAACCGAAGTAGGTGGTTATCTTAGTGCGCCACACCCCGAGCCTTTTACCTAAAGATCTGATCCACAAGGCAATGGAGCATTGTAAGGAGATGCAGTAACATGGTAGCCGGTCACCAACGATTGATTCATACGCTATTTGTTCCTTCAGGATACTGGAACTCATGTGCGTCATTGTTTTGGAATCAGGGTTTTTCAACTGCCCTAGGTAAACTTTCCGTGTCCACCAACCCAGTTAAAGCGCCGGATATTCGCGTTTCGTTCTCTCAATTTCGTAAACAACAGTAGTGCCACGAGAAGGCAGAGGCTGTATATGCGTGGTCATATGAGAGCATTTGGAGAGGGAGAGCGGACTCTCCCCACTCTCAGCCGTACCAGGGCATCTGGGGGCAAATTTTTATAGAGCATGAAAAGCTAAAAAAATCGTTATTTTGATCCTTATTAACCAAGTAACATAAGATAGTTTTAGCCATTTTAATGTGTAAATATGATCATAGGTTGCCTTGGAATACTTATTCAACAAGTTAGTACATTAACGCTAACCGGTCAGTTCAATTCCGAAAAGATCCATGAAACTACGTATTATAAATTCTAAACGTAATCGAAATCTTTCTTCACCTACCCAACGTATATCACATGAGTAATTGTATATGTAATTACAAACGTTTTTTTCCGAACAATGTTTGTTTGTTCATTCCAGTCTGCAAAAATTACCGAATAAGGAAGAGTAACTAACCAATATGGTCAATAATTTATGTTACTGCTTCAACCAAATCTAAATGGCTTTAAAAGTTCTTTTTTTTACGATGAATTGCTCAAAAGACCAATTATATTCAAATTTGAAGTAAGCGTGGGTTTATCATAGAAGCCATACAACTATCTTGTCAACTAATTCTTTCTTCTTTATTTTTTGTGGGAAGACAGACATGAAACATTAAACGATATTCCCGTTTTTTGATAGGTAGTTTGAATGAGAAACTGTGTATGTATGTTTAAGCTAGAGTTTATATTGATGCTTCAAAGTGAGATAACGAAAAATTTGACCGAATTTTATCAAAATCTTCTCATCATTGATGTATACATTATTTATTAAAACAACATAGATATTGGCATGATTCAATGTTCAATTCATTGAACATTGAATGAATATTAAACCTGGATACAATATACATTACTAAACTATTATATTTTAATGTTGTTATTATCACAGGACAACTAGTTGAGATATCCAAAGTTAACAACTTTTCATTATTTATGTCAACCAATTCAAATAGTAATTCATCTAACCAATTAAAGTAAGTGGTTCATCCCTTTGTTTGTTTGATTTTATCTTACTGTATTCATAAGTTTTAGTGGATCAATTGTAAGAATGTATTTTGAGTTTCTTTAAATGAATATCTTTATATTACCGACTTTGATGGAGTTTTGTTCTCTGAGCTGGATGATTTGATCATGAAGCTTTCATTGTCCTTCTGACCGACATCATCAGCACAAACTTCGGGTAGAAGTCGTTCAGAAGGACGATGAAAGCTCTACAACCAAACCATTCGGCTCAAAGAACAAAACTCCATCAAAATTACCCACCTGAGCTACAAATCTTCACCATCTCAAAATTATATTACCGACATTCTCAAATTAATTTTACTTATGACTAGGATTTTTATATGTTCATGTGTTGTGTTAATAATCACTTTGACACTGTGAACAAAACTATTGTTCACTTATCTTTTTTTCTATCCCGATAACGTGAAAACACCAGTTGTCGAGACCTTATTTATTTAAACACATGAATATTGGTACAAGGGGGCACCATATACATATGCGCCACACAAATCTTATTCGATTTGTGTAAGGGCTTGTATACAAACCGGGTGCCCAAACAGAAGTAGGTGGTTTTCTTAGGGGACCACAACCGGAGCCTTTGACCTTCATGTCCGATCCACAAGGCAGTGGAGCATAGTAAGGAAACGCAGTCCCACGGTAGCCGGTGACCGACGATTGATTCATACGCCATTTGTTCCTTCAGGATACTGGAACCCATGTGCACCATTGGTTTGGAATCAGGGTTTTCCAACTCCTCTAGGTGAACTTTCCGTGTCCACCAACCCGGTTAAAGCGTCGGATATTCGCTTTTCGTTCTCTTAATTTCGTAAACACCCGTGGTGCGAGAAAGCAGTGAGTAGGACTTCTCTGTCAGAGGCTATTTACGCGTGGTCATGTGAGAGCATTTGGAGAGGGAGAGCATACTCCTCCCATTCTCGGCCGTACCAGGGCATTTGGGGGCGTTGTCGAGACTATAATTTATGGACAAACCAATAAGAAATAAGATAACGAGTCTTGAATTTTGGCATGACATTTTATCTATCCATTTGACTTAATAGATTTTTGACATTTTAGCTTATGTCAATATGTGATGAAAACTCTAAATATAATTCCTAATTCAAATCATCAACTGTAAGTCATGATTCTAATACCTCACACTGGTTTATAATCCTCATTAAGTCCTAGTTAGTAAGTGGATATCTTCAAGGTTACTTTAGCGTTGCTCAAAGGTTGTCCATAAATTATAGTCTCATACACCAGTTTTGTAGAATATGCTTTTTGATGTTGATCCAATATAATTTATTAAAATATACTTAGTTTGTCGATGAATATATCAATAGAAAAATGATTAGAATATTTAAACTCAATGATTGTCATTAACACAAACTATCATAAAAATGTATTGCACTTCTATACACAGAAGTTCAGCCCAATTGGCATTGATTAACTTCTCATAGGTTGTAACTTGAGAGTGAACACCTCCAGTAGAGTTAAAAATGAAATCTTAGGCGCACGTTTTCTACTGTATAGAATTCATTTACCGGATGTGATTGTATCCTATTATCAGTGTATATATTGAAACTCGTACCTAAAATACTTTGACTGGAACACTAGTGAGTTATTCACTAAACTACTAAGTCACGATACCCACCAGTCATTAAATGAATATGGTATTTACTCAAAATTTTAAATACTTTGATTTCCCACTGATGGTACTTCGAAACAAATACGATCCTGATTCTATTGGTAATATGGGCTGCTTGACTAAATACCTCAATAAGGTTTCCATTTTAAAGTTTATTATATTTTGAATATTGGATTCCCTAGCTAACCACCAACTGATATGATCAACTTGTAAATACAGACAATATCAAGGAGCACATCTGATTGATCACTGGGTGGTGATCAATGTCGTGTGTCAACTCCTTCTTAGTGAAGATCAAATGCTATCGATCAAGTTGCAATGTGGTCACTAGTCTAGGTGACTCGACAATGCGTGCACTATGTTCAGATAAGATGGTGGTTGGAGGTGGTTAACATGAAACGCTGGACTAGACGGCCGTCAAGTGCTTCCAGGACCTTCTGTCTCGTGAATTTATTTACTTTAACTTGGAACCGATAATACGCTTTGTTCGTCATTGAAATTCCCTGACATATAAAAATAAATATTAAAGGACAATTTCATGGGTCACTGAAATTCAATTTGATTAGTAACGTCTCAACAGAAACTAAACCTAACTCGATGATAAAGTCAGATATAAAAAAATTTTTAGAAGAATGTGGATTTATTTTACTGCGTTGGATTTTTATCAGCCGCTTACAATCTGAAATATTTAAAAAATAGTTACAAAATAAGTTGAAATAGATGAGTTTAATTTAATTTGTGATAGTTGGCATTATCTTATTATTGGTATTTTTTTCAGTTTTAGTTTACCTGTAAGGATCACCTCGATATAGTTAATATGTCACAGGTTTAGGTAGAATGCGACTAACAGTGGATCAAAATACAGTCCAAGTATCAACAACTGGATAATCCGAACTATTATAAATTAGGTTACATTTTATATTCGTTTCACAAATGAGAGGTTATCTGAAGTTTTTGGATAAGTTGATAACACGTTAGCGTTTGAATCCCATAGTGAACATCAATTTTGGGATCCAGACACATTCTATCCATTCTATGTAGTAGTTTAGCTGAGAGCTGTTTTGAAGATACATCAGTATAGTAAGGGTGTAAATAAATTTAATAGACTAGGCAAAATCCGACTCACACGTCCTCATCGTGCCTCCTGGGTCATGGGACCGTTTCCATGAACTAACGTGAGCGGCAACCCGGGTGGTGATAAACCAATCTACCAATACCCGAGAACGATTACGAATGGTACAAAGAGTAATTGTATAACTACTGAGGGTTCAAAATAGTGGTAGAAAAATGAATCTGCTCAAACAAAAACAAAAAAAGGGTTGTGAGTGTTATGTAATGGTTCTGCGTAAACAGTGCAGAAACAGCTATCCCGCCCCGGTAGTTGTGCCGTGCTTTGATGTAGCACTCTTCTCCAGAATGGCATACTAGGCTTCACCATTCTATATGGCTGGAAGGGGCAATAGACTAAATAAAATATCGTTTATACATATATTTGTTACATACTATACTATAGTGATGTCTTAAAAATAAATTCCAGCTAAGCCCTTTCATATGAGCAATTGAAACCCATTTTGTAATTATATTTAAATATCACAGGTAGTAAGCATCTAATAAGAACCAAACAAAATAAAATGAATTCATGTTATTCTGTCTAAGAACTTGTTCTTGCTTCCTTCAAAATGATAAAGAGAACTAAGTGTATGAAATAAGATACATGCATATGTATATGCATATTACGCAGGAAATTGAAGGTAGACATGAGAAGAATGAATAGCACTTGTGAACAAATAGAATGGATATCCCAGGACAGAGTTAGTTGCAGAATCCTGGTCGATAGACCATCCTCCATGATGAGTAACAGGAGTAAGTGGAACAACAACAAAACTGAAAACAAGCAGTTTATTACTTTTTTGATTTAAACTTTATGCTTGCTCGTGATCATTAATTCGTAGTCTGATTTATTTATTTACTCACGAAAATGTTTTATCAAACCATTTGCTTATACAATGGCTCAATTTCAAAATAATAACAGTAAATAGATTCGAGAATGAATAACAAATGAGATTACGTAAGAATCAAGGGGTAAGGAAGAAAATAATTTATGGGTCAGATAATAGTTCAGTTGACAATAACAGTAAATAATCTCAAAAGTAAAACCGGTGACTTATTGGTTATCTTCTAATTATGATTCCATAAACTTTCATTTATATTTACCTACATGTTCAGCACTCATCAACCATCCTGATATTTGACTAATTATAGTAAAGTATAAATTTGTTAATTAAAGTACTTGCAAATTTTATTTTCAGACATCAAACTATTCACAATAAACGTACAAAGACTCCAATCACCTCCAGAAAAGAAGTTAGAGAGCCTTTGCATCAACTAGAGACTCTAAAGAACGCTGAGAATGCCAGATATATTTGGTTAACAAGACAGACACAACGAAGTACACCTGTTTTGAGCCAGGAGCGACAATATGGTCGGATCAACTTAATTTCCACACACCGAGGAGAATCTCCATCCAGAAGGGGGAAAAGTGAAACGTCTACTGCAAGAGCAGAACACAGAGGAGGATTATTTAATGTACATATGAATAGTGGAATTAAAGCCCCATATTACATAATACATCCGGAATGGTTAAGTGAGACTATGACAATACGACAACTTGGGTTATCACCTAGACCAACTCCATTGCCAATAACCAACGGTCTAAACGATAACCAAGTGAATAAACGCAGTCACACAACAAATTCTATTTGTCCGGGATCTTCAAGGAGAAATGTATGTACAGATTCATTGAGCTTAGGACAGCCATCTTTCAGTCGTTGTAGAAGTTTACCACCGAAGTCAATAAATCCCATAACATGGGACAGTTACGGAAATAATCCTTAAAAACATGACAGTGAAACAGTTGATGAATTATTTTATTGAAGAAATAAAGCTTACAAAAAAAAATTAATTCGTTAAGAAAATAAAATTTTTCACTTCAAAGGTTGTTGGATAATACGTTTAGTATTATCGTTATGAGGTTTAGTAACTGTTGGCATTGGCTTATCATGACAAGCTTTGACACACCTGTCGTGATATTCAAGTTCCTCCTAAAAAAAGAATAAATATAAATAATAGGGGTCCCCATAACGTAAATCAAGACAACACATAAACAAACAGTATTAATTTCGGTTAGATCTTCCTCCGAGCTATTACTTTAATATACAGTAATACTTATGTGCACATATAAAAATTTCAAACCAATCAAACCAACTTATATGTCAATGATAACAATGAAATAGACAGCATAAATAAGAAGTAAAAAGTATGACTCAATAGAAATGTACTAGTTATGCTAAGAAACAAAAACCCTCAATGTAGCATTATACAATCATAAAGACAGAATCGACTGGGTTATGAAGAATAACTTGATTCTAAAGCTTAACACTTACTAAGTTAAATTTATAACAATTCAAATTCCTCTTTACGCTTATTTAACGAGTTAACTGAGTACATAATAAACCTGTAGAAACATTGAGCCTACACCCATAAGGTTTCGGATCCACTTGTCAAAATTTACATGAATACAAGTACCAACAACAAAAAGATATTAAAGCCTTCAGTGGTAAAGAGTGGAAAGCATTCGTTGAGGAAAAAAACTACGTTCAAGATTTGAGGGAAGATAAAAAGTAAAAATATCTGACCTTAATGTCTACCAGGAAAGGGTTTAGGGACAAACTCTTGCCCAGCTTGTTAAGGAACTTTACAATCCCGGATTGCAAAGTGCATGGGATACTTAGAGAAGAATCGTCAATCTCAAGAGGAGGTGTGATATAAGGTGATTTGCCAAAGAAATAGATCCTGGTGTGAAAAACCAGAGTTCAAATGGCAGTCAAACGTTTTTAAATCCTATAAAATATTTTATTGATGCAGAAGAGTAGGAAAATGTTACATAAGCTTTCAACATCAGTGCTTTACACACATTTTTAGTCTAACACCATGTGAATTGAACAAGTATAGAATTAGTAAAAGAGAATTAGGACAATCTTAGAAGTTCATTAAGCGGCTTTACTCGCCATTTTCATGGCATTCAGAAGAACCACATTGACAATCATTTTTATTTTTTTCATACGTTTTTCTGAAACCACGTGTACCATTCAAACTGACTTCTAAACTTGAGTATATGGATGATATCGTCTTACTATGATGATACGTAACCAATTCAATCCACATTTATTCAGTTGGTAATTAGTGTACGTGGATAATGGCATATGTTTTACACCTTAGAAGTGCAAAGTACTTTTAAAAGACTGGCAGAACCCTGAACCCGCATTCACCTTGGGTAGTGAGCAAATAGAAGTAGCCGAGAAGTTCGTGTATCTGGGTAAGTGCTTGTGGTGGCTTGAGTGATGAGATCGATCCACGTATAGCGAAAGCCATAGCGGATTATGCCAATCTGAGCCATCTTTGGAGATTTCGTGATGTTGGTTTGGCAGGAAAAGATTGGATCTACAACGCGTCGGTGAGAGTAATTATGATCTATGCTTGTGAAACATGGCCTCTCCGAGTTGAGGATGTTGGACAACTATGTGTTTGATCATCGTTGCCTCCGAAGAGTTGCTGACATAAAGTGGCAACATCATGTTAGTAGAGCAGAAGTTCAGCATTATGTGTTCGGACACATCGACCATAATTCAATTAATATCACCATCTTGAAACACCGATTTCGGTGTCTTGGACATGTTCTATAAATGTCATCCCCGAGAATTCTACGCCGTGCATTACTTGCCAACGCTGTGACTGGTTGGAAAAAGGCGGAGGTGGTCGTGGTATGAAAGAAAGCCGTACAGGACTGGCTTCTGTTGGTCCTTCACGACTCCCTGGTTGAGGTCCTAGAGATGGTGCAAAACTGACTTGAGACGTGGTCGGACATAGCTCAAAATAGAAGCCAGTGGCAATTCTACTGTAACTTTCTTTTGCTTTTCTCACAAAATATTTTCGCTGGGCTGTTTCTCCGATTATTATTTCCGTTTTATAAACTAATTTCTATTTGTTGTTCTTTTTATTATTATATGCACTTGACAGCCTCGCTGCTATTGTGTGGCGCATATGTATTTTGTACCCCCTTTGTACCAATATTTGTGTTTAAATAAATAAATACACGATTCTACTAGTCTTTTGGTAACACTCAGTAACGATGCCAGGATGTTCGGAATGGGTTCCTTCCCCTCTAAACGCAAATTATTCATTCGTGATTGGATTGCGTCAACACCCGAACTAAGGATAAAAGTAAAGTGGTCGAAAGCGCCGCAGTTGGTTCGATTCTGCTTTATGGCTGCAAAACGTGACCGTTAAGAGTAGAAGATACTCGTAAGTTACTAGTATTTGATGACAGATGTCTTAGAAATATTGCCAGCATCTGCTGGGGTCACCCAGTAAATGATAGTGAAGTTACACGCAGGATGTTATGTATTGATGGTAAGTCAAATGATGAGGTTGTGAATCTTCATCGACTGAGATGGTTGGGCCATGTGTTAAGTATGCCTGAACACCGATTACCACGACGCGCTGTGCTAACTAGTTTTGGGAATGGTTGGGAGAAAGTTCGGGGTGACCAAACCAAGGCGTGGCATCAGTGCTTGAAGTCACTAACTTCTAGTCTGAGCCATGTTGGCAGACGCAGACTACTTGGTTGGAGTCCGCGTGACTATCGTAACCAATAGTTAAAGACTATTTGTGACATGGCTCAGAATCGATCACAATAGTGTAGGTGCATACACTCTTTGCCTACCCCTAAACTGTGAGGTAAGAATTACGGCGAGATTACAATTTATGAACAAACCAACCATATTTGGGATAACAGGTCTTGGGTTTGGGGATGAAATTCAATCATCCGTTCGGCTAAACAGAGTTTTGGCAGTCACGCTGTCAGTTCATCATGGAAACCATAAATGTAATCCATAATCTTAACCATCAATTATAAATTACAAACCTTATTCTTTGAACTGCTTCATAATCCTCATTTGGCTCAAGTGGGTGGTCATTCTCAAGGTCACTTCAGCGTCGCTCAAAGGCTTATAAGTCGTGGTCTCACCAAATCTCCGTATAAACGCGATCAGTATTAAAATCATATTGAAAGACATAAGTTTGGAACATTAACTTGAACTTAAACAAAAACGATAAACAATGGACATAAACTATTCTGAAAGTAAAACATCAACTAGAATATCCGGCATCTAAGTAAACTTTTCGTTTAATTATGAAAAAAATGTAGGAAATGAAACACGTGTAGAAGACAACCGATTAGTAATTTCGATTTGCCTTGCATTTGGGTACTGTCTTGTTTCATGTAAGACCAAAAGTGTAAGTATGTCGATAATTAAAGAACTCGTAATAATATTCATACGAATCACATATTAGAAACGTAAAAAAGTTACATTCAAGTCGAAGAACACAAATTGACCCACCTTAGTAAGTAGTTCGTGTGGAGAATCCTCTTCGCACCTAAAACAATGTTAAAAAACTTCCACTAACATACCTAACTTCAACTGTTGCATCATGTTTTACATGTTGTACAATTCTCATCTTTCCAGCTTTAACTAAAAATTTTGTTGTAAGTGATGCGATACATAGATGTACCTGCTGGGGGGTGTGAAATATTCGAAGTGTCTGAAGTTTCATCCATCATCGGCTAGACTCCCAACATATAACCTTGATTTCGAAGACAGTGGTATGTGTAAACATTAAATAGTTCAAAGTCAAATGGTTTAGATGATTCTGGGAATTAATAGAAGCTTTCGCTTGAGGATACGACTGGTGTTCTAATTTGACAATTAGCGGCCAGTAGCACCTTCTATAATCGAAACCCTTTCGACCAAATAGAAATCAGAAGTCAGACGAGAAGAGGTAGAAAAGATATATTTGATACGTTATCAATATATCAAGGAACGTTTGTTCTAAGCTGACCAAGGATCGTAGGAGCAGTGTTTCACGCCGAGTTGAAACGTGATCTGGGGATAATCTGCAACCAGAAAACGGAGTTACGCAAACAGATAACTTAGTGTTTCCAACTATTAACCTGCGTGAGCGTGTGTCGATTAGTAGATTGTGGTATTGTAACAGGTCTATACCAATGATTGGCATAGAGACATCTGCAACCACGAAAATCCAGTGTATGAGTTTGCGCAAACCCACATTAAGGTAGACGTATCTTTTACCGTAAGTAGCGATCGGCTTTCCGTTTGCCGCCTGTAAACTTAAAACAGACTCGCGAAGTCTGTCGTTGGAGTCCTCGGGAAGAACGCTAACTTTTGCACCGGTGTCGACGAGGTAGCGAACTTTCGTGGTCACATCAGTGACATATAAGAGGCAGCTGTGTTCGTCAGCTACGGTTGCCGTTAACGCGTGCCGGCTGGGAAGTTTCCCGAACTGTTTTTCGTGTCATTCGATTTTGAGGTCGGATAATTGCAAAGTTTCCTGCAATTTCTGGAAGACTTACCGTACTGGTTATGACACCAGCATCAGTAGGGGTTGTCTGTCTCTCATGATCAGGAGACAGATCGCTTACGTGAAACGCTCCTACGTGAAGATTTTGACCGACTGCGGTCATTACGAAACCTAAGATATCGTGTAAGTGTGTGGAGTAGTTCGGCTATATCAGTCAATGTCGATTGAGGTTTTTCTTTGACGGAAAAGACCTCGGCGCTAGTGGATTTGGTGATTTCTAGGATTCGGTCGGCAGATGCAGCCAGCTCGTCTACGGCGTTGTTTTGAAACGAGACGAGCACTGCCTGCAACTGTTGAGGAAGTTTAGACAAGAAAAGTTGTCTGAATAGGCCATCATCGAAAGTTCGTTGGCCGATAACCTCTCTCGTTCTTAGCAACCTGTCTGTCGCAAAACCATGTTGCATGTAGATATTCTTAAGCAGTTGGTCTAACCGTTGTCGATCAGCTAGGTCTCCGCGTTTTAATATCGACCGTTTGAGAGCTTCGTAGGATTCCGGAACATCACTAGTAAACATACTAGGTGTTACGTAACTGTTAAATTCGCGCGGTAACGCCTTAACTACCGCTAGGAATCGTGTGTGCGAGTCCGTGATTCCATGCATGAAAAAATCAGCTTCTGTGTAGCAGAACCAGGACTCGATATTATCAGGCAGGAAGGGAGTTAATTGAATCGATGACAGGAGAGTAGTCCTTAACTTAAATACTTTAGGTGAGTGTTCCGTCATAGTAATATTAAGAACGAAAATGTCTAATCGAAATATATCCGGGAAAAACTCGCGAAAAAAAGTATATCACAATATATAAAAATCAAATAAAGAATAACAATGAATAATAATATTCCAAAAAGGAACAGACTCACAGTTTTTGCGCTTGGTGTAACAGATCACGTCGGGCTCACTACTGAGGATACGACTGGTGTTCTAATTTGACAATTAGCGGCCAGTAGCACCTTCTATAATCGAAACCCTTTCGACCAAATAGAAATCAGAAGTCAGATGAGAAGAGGTAGAAAAGATATATTTGATACGTTATCAATATATCAAGGAACGTTTGTTCTAAGCTGACCAAGGATCGTAGGAGCAGTGTTTCACGCCGAGTTGAAACGTGATCTGGTACGGATGCATGACCGAAAGCCTTCAGTTAAACAAGTCCACTTAAACAACATGGTCAACACCCAATGTCGGACACTTAATGAGCTATTGATTTTGGGGAATTATTTACAACTCCACGTTTAACAGACTCCCGTATCCAGTAGCAGTGGATCACTAATGCGTCAAGACAGGAAACCAGGGTATGTTATCGATAAAAGAGTGAGAAGAAAAAGAAATTGGTAAATCATGGTAATATACTATTCTTAGTCCTTAAGAATATGTCTAGTTTTTTCTTAAAGGAATCCTGATAAGCCGCTTTGACTAGCTCGGCCAGCACTGAATTCCTGCATTTGACCACTTCTACTGGGTAGAAGTTGTGTTTACAGTCCGTTCTGTTATGTTGTGTCTCTAGTTACTAAGTGTTACCCCTAAGTCAAACTACAATACTGATGGTATCATCAGTACGTTGCAGAGTGTCCTTATCTTTTTGGAGTGAGGAAGGAAATACTATGTTTATGTACTTTAAACGAAGACCAGTAAGACTGTTGAAGATTCTGTGGAAAGTTCCAATATCAAACTGTTCAAAAATGCGCTTCAATGGTACCAGTGCAAAGTTCGTTCGAAAGGCATTTTTGTCACAGCTAGCGTAAGACTTAACTCCGCCTGTAGCGCCTCCTGGGGCTACTGCCGGTCCCAAGCCCAGGTAAAGGAGGAGGGTTGATCATGGGGTTAGCGACCACATCCCGTAGAAGACCAATTCGCCAAAAAAAACGCTAATCAGAAAATATTATTCAAACCTTTCAAACTCTGCCCTGGGAGTAGAAGGAATAATTATGACGTCTCATGATGAAAGCCGAGTTTCTTTCGGAAGTCATGATGCAGATGCACCTTCTAACAACCAGAGCAACACTCTTTATAGGTACATGGAACGTCCGGACAATGTGGTAGACCGGAAGAGTTTTCCAAATCGCTGCAGAAATGAGAAAATACAACCTGGAGGTGCTTGGAATCAAAGAAACACATTAGACGCAGGTTGGAAAACAACAACTATCTTCAGGGAAACTTCTGTTATACTCTGGTCATGAAGAAGAAAATGCCCCACATACTCAAGAAGTGGCATTGATGCTGGTCGGATGCAGATGTAAAGGCGAGGATTGACAAAGCAAGGGCAGCATTTCTACAATTGAAGAACACATGGAACTCAAAACAACTCGCAACTAATTTCAAAGTGAAAATCCTCAATAAGAACGTCAAGACAGTCCTACTGTATGGAGCTGAAACTTGGAGAACTACTACGGCCATCATCAGGAAGGTACAAGTATTTATAAACAGTTGTTTACGCAAAATACTCAACATTCAGTGGACGGATACTATCAGCATCAGCGTTTTATGGGAGAGAACAAACCAGCTTCCAGCTGAAGAGGAAATAAGGAAAAGACGTTGGAAGTGGATCGGCCATACATTAAAGAAATCACCAATGTGCTTCACGACTCAATCCCTAACTTGGAATGGGGAAGGGAAGCGGAAAAGAGGAAGGCCAAAGAACACACTACGCCGGGAAATAGAAGCAGATATGAAAAGGCTGAATAGCAACTGGAAATGACTGGAAAGGATGGCTCGGGACAGAGTTGGATGGTGAATGCTGGTGAGCAGCCTATGCTATTCGAAGAGGGGTAACAGACGTGAGTAAGTAAGTAGCGTAAGACTTGAGATCATGTTGTACCAACACACTTAGACATTTTTCAGCTCAGGATACCGCTGAAGGGGAGTGACCTAAGCTGTAACTGTAGTCTGCAAGGTGTCTGAGAAGGACTACCTTACAATTTGAAGTGTTAAAGGCAAGTTAGTTATCGATTGCCCAGCTTTGTAGTTGGGCCAGATCCTCCTGAAGAACCAGTTTATCCTCTGGGATGCGTATCTCTCTCTAGAGTTTCAAATCATCGACCAAAAGTAGTAAACCTGACGGTACTTTTTGTGGAAGGTCGTTTATATAGATCAAGAAGAGAAGATGCCCTAGTATTGAGCCCCGAGGGACCACACTAGGACATTCCATAGCCTGAGAGAAAGTTAACCTTGACCTCAAAATATCGATCTTTTGGATAATTGGTGCAGTAGGCCGAACAATTAAATCTGATTTGGTGTCTAATCTTTTGAGCTTTTTGATAAGATATATATGGTTGACACTGTCAAAGGCTTTTGAGAAGTCAAGGTACAGGATGTCAACTTTCCCCTTGCGATCAAGGATGCTTGTCCACCTGTCCATCGCATTCAGTCGCCTGATTATATAAGAATGGATCAGAGGTGGTTTTGTGGAGATTTAGTATTTTCATAGTTGAAATCATTAGTTTGTTGAAGCTAGATCACCATGGAAAACATAGAAGCACTGGACGACCGTTTCGTCATATTATGGGATTCCTAGGCAGTGCGTATCCGCGATCCCGCCTCGCAAGATTCGAACCCAGGACCTACCAGTCTCACCCAGAGCCCTTAACCGATAGACCGCTGAGCCGGCATTCAACGCTGAGGAGTCCCATAGTAGAACGAAACGGCCGTCCAGTGCTTCCTGGTTTTCCATGGTGGTTTAGCTTGAATTGACTCATGATTTCAACTATGAAAATACTAAATTCTCCACAAAACCCCCTCTGATCTATAACCATATGCTTACTAGTGACTGACTTCAAGAGATATTTCCTGGAGTTCTAGAGGGAAGCAGTGATCAGTGGAGTTCTACCAAGTCTGTTGAGATATCAACTCACTGAAGACAATTGGTGAATGGTTGCTCAAAATCGTGGATTGGTTAAAGTTAGACATTAATACCGTTTGATGCCAGCTCGGTGGTCTATTGGTTAAGAGCTCTGGCTCGAGACTGGTAGGTCCTGGGTTCGAATCTCGCTAGTGCGGGATCGTGAATGCGCACTGCTGAGGAGCCCCATAATAGGATGAAATGGTCATCCAGAGATTCCAAGTTTTCCATGGTAGTCTAGCCTCAATTGACTCATGATTTCAACTACGAAAATATATAAGAATGACCCCTCCATAAACCGTGCTGTTGGGGCGAAAGTAATTTAAAGAATCGTAAGTAGTCGCACAACAAGGACTCCGTAATTTTCGAGAGTACAGAGACATGAGACACCGGTCGACATTTTGAAGGTTCGCTGTCTTGTCCCTCTTTTTGAAAACTGATGTGATGTGAGCTAGCTTCCAAATTTTCAATAATATTCCTTTTCTTCGCTATTGTAGGAACATCACTCTAAGCGGTATTGTCAAGACTGAAGCTGCTTCCCTCAGCATAGCGGAATGGACCATGTATAAACCAGAAGTGTCCTAGTTTGGATGCTGCAACTTTTTACACCAGGTCAGCACTCATGTTCACTCTTTTAATCTCTGTAGAGTTTCAGATGCAGCTTTTATCAATATAGTTAGTGTGGGTCGGTTGAAATATCCGGGAGTACTGTTCAGCCAAAAGATTAGCGGCATCACCGTCGCCATTAGGACCTAGCAGTTGAGACTTCTCTGTTCACCTGGACAGATTCCGGGGGATCGACCTTCTAAAAGATTGTAATCTGCAGAACCATTTGACATTAGCAACACTGAAACTATCGATCAAACAGATAGGAACGAATAAGGAGACACTAACAAGCAAACCTCGTTGTTTCTTGATAACCGTTCCGAAAGAATACTCTCTAAAAGAATCTCAAGGTCCTCAGTTAACATAGGCGACAACCTCGTTCAGGGGTTTTTGTACCTCACTTTTATCTAATCTTCCGTGTTCGATAGCTAGTTGGTTGCATTTGTAATTATATCCAATCAAGTACGAAAATTTTCCAAGTCAATATTGTCAGTTTGCTTGCATATTTCTATCATAAAAAACAAATCAAAATAGTTCTGACAGCTTTGTATGCATACATACTTTTCTTCATAAAAATGGAGAACAACTTTTCTGCTTGTGTAGTTGTCGCGTGCTTTCTGTATGCATATATGCAGGAATTTTTTAAAACAGTTAAATTGCCTGAGTATGAATAAAGTTATTTGACACGCACTTACATTTACCCAAATTTTATCCTCAAGACAACTTTAAGTGATGACGAAATGACGATAAATTTAGCGAACCAAGTTAGATAGTTTTATAAATTTCCATCATTCACTCAATGACTCCTTAGAGTAGGGAAAGACGATTAGACGCTCTTAGATTTAACAAATTATCCCAATAGTAATTTTCAAGGGTAAGCTCGGCAATTTCAAATCAATGACTGTCCACATTTTAGAGTCTTCAATTCCTCACTATTGAGTTCGCAAAGAAATTATCTTACGCAAAACATAGGTGAAGGGGATTCCAAACACACATAAGTCTACTAACATAAAAACATGAGGAAAAGACCATACATTGTGTTCACATTCGTGCTTGATTAGGCACAGCATTACCGGATACATGATCTACATTGCGCTGACTCCACTAGAGACGACAGTGGTGAATAACAATCAGTGAGATATTATTTCACATTTACCTTCGTAAACATTACTAAGGCCATCAACATTGTGCAACGGTGATAAATGAAAGCTTGGTACGAAATGCTCTGAGAGAACTTATTATTACAGAAGACTGAAGGATAGCATGTCATGGTCATGGTCAGTCCATTAATTTCTTGCTTTTAACATTATGTGCATCGTTCCCTTATGAACCTAAATGTGTCTTTCACTCTTCCTTCGCGGAAACTACTGACTGCCACACAGGGCGAGTCGTATAGATCCTAGTGCGACTTCCACGTAGGTCTGACGATTTCGGTCGTCTCAGTATGACAAATCTACAAATATGAAATAGGTCGGTTATTAAAGGGAGAGATATATACAAATATTATATAACACTATCAAGGCCCATGAATATCGAGAAATTTAGTTAGTGGACATTGTACTTCAATCTTACGCACGATACAAGTGATTTAGTTGTTATCGCCTGTCAGGTGAGTTGGATACTGCCCATATATATTTTTATCGAACAACAGGGTTTTTTATGTTTTATGGTGTTTAGAAATTTTGAATAACAATAAACTCATAAAACTCAATTTTTTGAAAAATTTGTCCCGTCGAACAGCGAGAGTACAGGGGAAATATAGGCAACATCCCTTAAATTTTATGTGAATGTCGGCGAAAATATATCAACTTGTCTTTTTCACTAGCCTGAGGAAAATGGTTAGGATTCACACCAAACTTCCTTCGTTGAGCGGAGATACCTCGAAATAAACACTCGGCTCTCAGCTTTGATCAAAAGCAAATAGTCTACTTTTATTGTTAAATAACACCAAGCTGTCTATTTTTCTGACAGTTACCTTAAATAACCTACTTTTCCTTTGAATTTTGTCTGTATCCGTGACAGTGAGGGGTGAACAAAATGTTCCCTAAAATTATCACCGTTCTTCCCTTTATTTTCCGTTTACCATCTCTTTTGGGTCAACCATTCAAAATGCTACAATGTTTGAGAATGGTAAACAGTCATTTCTACTCTTCTGCCTTGCCTTTGTTTGATATTTAGTACTGACCTTTTATTCCTTCTTGTTGCTCACCTCCTGCCTATGTTACATCTTTGTGTTGATATAACGTGGTAAATCTTGAAGCTATTCATTAATACGTGGGCTTATGCTGTTATTCATGTATGCGTGTGCGTTTTAGTTGTTCTGTTACGATTGCTGCAATTTCACAATAACCAAAAGTTACCATCACATATTGACCTGAAGAAATGCCTCTTGAAGTGTTCCAGATGAACACTAATCACTTTCAAGTCATCAGCGTAATCTTTTGACAAACCAAATATGTTCGGATCTATCACATTGCATTCATTAGATGTTTATACAGTCTGTTGATTGTTACGATGACTTTATGATTCAAATGAGCCTTATCGTGTTACCCGTGACCTGTACCGTTAGTCAAATGTATACATCACTAAATTTTGTTTTGATGTGCTTTCATCTGTCATATATTTTAAAGGTATTGACCTTTCCAATGATTATCAAAGTCATTCCATTAGTTTTTAAGCTACAAAATCTTTTACAATTTCGAAATTAGCCGTGAAGTTACTGTGTATTTGCTGAGATAATGTGATGATTAAAAGTATTTGAATTGTTATACGAACTAGGAGTCCCCGAAATAACGCAATTAAGGCCAAATAGAACTAAGTGAACCAAAACGGTCGTATTGTATTTGAAAAACGAAATCAGGCAGATAAAGGAATTATTAGTTCATACAAACACCTGGGATCAACTTCTCTCAAAAACCATTTATAGTCTGAGTTAGTGTCAGTTACACCATCCGACTGAGTTCAGGCTTTCTTGATCAGGACGCCAGTTTATAAATCTTCTATCTAACGTGTGTTTTAGAATTTGATCTGAAGTTTTACACTAGAATCGTTAAATAATAATAATGATATTGTAATTATCCTCAAAAACAAATGGTGTATTTACCGTACTGGTTATTGAATTTTTTAGTCACCGCTATCCATGAAGTTCTGATTGGTGATATTATTCAAAATAGAACTTCGATTGAAACACCATCCGAGAAAGTTTGCCAAGCTGATCAATCAAAACAAGAGATATGGCCCCTTCAACCGTTTCTTAATTACTGAATTTCTCACACTGAAGTTGTATGTGTTATAAGTCTTTGCCTAGTAGGCATGTTTCACCATAAGTATTAAGGTGTAAGTGGTCATCATAAGTAATAGGCGGATTATGTAGAGAATCATATGCCTGTGAGACGTTTTGCAATAATGTCCCATTGAACAACTTACAAATGATTCGAAAATATTGTTGATTTCAAAACCTAATGGAGTTGTTTAGAAACACTTTCAACCAATCACTTGTGATAAAATTTCTTTCCGAACCTGGTTTTAATACAGGATCTTCTTTGGATTCTTTAGAAAACCCGGAGTATCGACTATGAAACTTATATTCTTAATTTATTACTTGGGATATTAGAAATTGGCAATTATCTATATATGGATAAATTGATCAATTTAATCGAATATTAGAAATTGTTTAAACAGTCTTTACCTAGCAAGACATTGTCCACCATATACCACAAACCAATCAACCAACCACAGATCAGCAACTAAGAAAGTTTCTGTGAGTCCATGAAGTGTTTTTCAAAGCAGACTCACAGTAAAACGCGGCATTTATCGCTCATATTCAAGTAGTCATCTTAATTAGCAAGTGCTAATTTTCTTTGGTTGGTTAACATATCTGGTTACAGTCACAATTCTACAGTGTTTGCAAGGTTTTCAACATCTCTGACATTACTAAAAAACATAATAACCCACCGAGCTCTGCCAACTTGCATTTTAAAACATGCATTTTGCCATTTTTCATGTGAAAATGAAGTGTTAAACGTAACAAACTAGGTCTTACGTTCAATAATCATGGTCATTTGTAGCATATACAAGCCAATACCTCAAAACACCCATATATCAACCATTCAGTAGCTCACTGATACTTCTCAAGACTATGTTTGATGGTACGGTTTCATCTAGCCATTTATGGCCCTAATATTTGACACAATATGACGCATCGTGTCATATTTTTGTAGCCGATGGAGAGATATCACACTTCAGCATTTCAAACAGGTATCTATATTATTGGAACAAATATTATCCTTTGAATTAGCGTCTTTATCCTTATACATAAAAATATTCCAAAAAAGAACAATTTAAATCACACGTTAATGTGCGTACGGTTACCTATGTAAGGCTAATCTGACTTAATTATTGTAAAAGCCAGCGAAGTACTGTCATACTGAGTATTTCGATAGTTTTATTTATTGGCCAACTGTACTTCTGTCGCTTTCTCGTGATTATAACACGGTTTATGTATTTATCTTTATCGCAAGCATTGTTTGTCTCAGTAACTATGGATAATTGATGAACCTTTATTTCAGTTGTTATTTGAAACCGATATACGTTTTCATTGAAAGTGAATGAATCTCCAAAAAATTATATTTGATGACCTCGACAATTTACACTCAAAATTAGACATTCTCGTCAGATATTCTAAAAATGGTTTCCGTTTGGCAAGTGTACTTACATTTAGTAATGAGGTGAGTTTGATATTCGTGATTATAATGACACTAATTTTGGCTATTTTGTTACCTATTTCTGAATTATCTTTTGCAAATATACTGATGAATGTCAGTGGAAACCAGTTTTAAACCTTTGGAATCCACTAAATAGTAACATAAAACCGAAAAGTCTACCAAATGTACTCATTAGCTAAGAATAGACTATGTTACAAAAATATATTATCAAAATTGTTCTCTACATTGGCTTTTTGTAAGATAAGAGAACCTGTTAAATGAGAATCGAAGAAAAGAGAATGAATTCATGTCATAAGTATTGCAAGGTTACGACATGAAAACTATGCTTTGGACGCGAAGCCCATAAACCTTAGCTTCATAAATGAGTAAATAAACTAATGTGTCACTCACATGCTTTTTTTCCAGTATTATATGTATATGGCCCTTTTTCACATTTGAAAACCTTCATTCATCCTTTCAGTTGAAGTTATTTCAGGAATACTGTCAGCGAGTCCTGGGACAGATTGAACTATGGATAACAAACGTTTTGCACGCCAGTAGTCCGTATAAAGAAGTTAGTTTTTGGATTGAAGACGCCATTGATTTTGGAAACACTTTTGAGGTATGTGGCGTAGAACGGCTTTTATTTCGGGAGTAGTTATTTATTATATTAGTGTTATAACTGGCAAACAGTCGGATAGTTCTTTCAGGTATTTCACTTTTTTATATGTGTGTCCGAAAGTCATAATTTAAACCATATGTATTATCGGTTCTATAGATAGGTGATGGTTACGCTAGCTTTTAATATGGATAATTTATTGAAAACAATATATTATTTGAGTGAGAATTCTTAGACATTCAGTATTCAACATTTTGATAATACCAGGTTTGCCAATTGCCATATAATCACCAATGAAACTTGCTAAAGAAAACTAACTCTTGCACTAGTTCTTGTTTATGAATACTTGTATATACATCCATTTGATTAATTATCCCATTTGTCTATATATTGATTGATAACTTCACCTATTTTTCCGTGAAATAATAGAACTATTGGTCATGCTCGGTTGAATTGTGAACAGTTTAACCTTGCTGTTATTCTGCAGTCTTAGGTAAAGTATTCATTTATATAAGATTAAAACATATGGATATTATAGGCGATTTGTTAGGGTTGTGTCCCCTGACCTGAATGGTTTCATTATGAAATTTTCATTGCCCTTCTAGACAGTAATAACAATGACAGGAACAAGCTGTTATTTATATGTCGATAAGTCCACATTGCTCATTTCTATCTGGATTTTTAGTTAATGCTCCTGTGCACAAAGATAATCGAAGCTTCGAGAATGTAACTCCACCGATAAAACAGATGAAGCTTTTTCTACTCATTGAGATGAAGCTTGTGTTTATAGCACCTCACCTACATTTTAATCTGTATACTTTGATTCCATTCAGTCCTTCAATTAATTTATGTAACCGATAGTGTCATTCAGTCATTAATAATTTATCTGTATCTTTCTATAATCACTATCATGTTTTTATGTGCATCTATACTTGAACACGGTTTACAGCCTACGGACATATTCCTCTTACTAGCAAAAATGCTGGTTACTTAAATTGTTCGGTAATTCATCCGCTTGCTTACGTCTATGTGCTTTTTAAATCTCGTTCATTCATCCACGTTCGCACTTCCGTTCGTATTCGCCTCGTGTCCCTATGGCTTTGTGATCTGAGCTGTACAGTAAACTGTAGTCAGTGCTTCGTATTATCTTCTGAAATGTGTACACCATTGGAAAGTCATCTAATAACGGTTATTAGGACGAGCGATATACGAAGGAGGACTTACCTCGTATAAATTTTATAACATGGTCGCTGATTATGGAGTTCAATTCCCAGTTATTATGTGCCTCAGCAATTATGAACACAGTTGCTAACTGTGAAATCCAAAATATATCTTTCATCCTTTTTGAGGTATGTCACAACCCAGTTTCATTTTTCACACTGATATTGTAACCTGGAACTTACTGCCTATTGTTAGTATTGTGTGCTAAATTTGATCTGTCACTACTGATACTTGGGTCTATAGGCTTGAGTATCAATCTTAATATCATCACTTATTCATCCAAAACGAAAATATAAAACAGAACGCAACAGGCGTCCGAGATCCCACTGCTACCCATTGTTTATGATACAAACCTTTGCAACTGGCAATAAATATAATGTTTTGAAAAAGTTGACGGCAATAGTTACTCGATGATCTAATGAATAATGTTATAGCATTGGGTTAGTCTCAATGTGAACATTAACACTGGGAAACTTGAACATCCTCATGTGGTGAATTCCAGATAGAATGGAACACATTTTAGAAATTTCGGCTTTTCAAAGTATAATCAATTAATAAATACAGACATTATCAGAGGATTCGTCCAAGGAACCCACGCAGATTAGTTCTGAATATCAACAAAGTAAAGACATGAATTTTCCCAATTAGTATTACTTATGATACAAACTTGGTGTATAGCTTTAGGTTGTCAACAGACAAGTTATTATATTAACCAGTGTTTCATTCAAAGGAGTAAGTTGAGTTTATTTTGTATTATATTGATCCATCAATGTATACGACCATTCGTTTTTACATATTTTCACTTGTCGTTACACTTTTTCGTTTAAAAATGTCTACAGAGTTTGACAAAGTCACTCACTATGTTGGAAAATATTATTGAATCATCATACAAACTTATTTTTACTGCAAACATAAGTAATGTGATATCATTTGGTTGTGTGCAGCAGGAAAAAATGTTTTCTTTCCAAAAGATTCAAGAAAGAATCAATTCTCTACATTTAGATTATTTTTATGAAGTAAGTGAAACTATTTCAACATATTGTTGTCCGCTTATTATTATTACCACAACTTTCATTATCACTGTTATTTAGTTTCAACACAAAATTTTCCTATTGGCAACCTACTAAATGCATGTGATATCCAGTTTCTGTTACCAGCTTACTTGGCAAAGTTAGTTGTCACTCCATCCAATTTCAGACATTTATAGGATATAAATGTGATCCTGTTGTTCTAGATGTGATATTTGTTTTGAGTTAAACCAAGACATGACATAAGTTCACTAAGTAATTATGGACAGTCTATGTGGGTGGAGGGAGGTATGAGAACGTCTCTGCTGGAACCCGGGGCAACAGTCGTTATATATGGATGAGAATACTATACGACGTAAGATTAAAATCGAATCGTCTATCGTGGCTTGTTTATTTAAAAAAAAAATAAAAAGATAAACATACTTGGTTTAGTTCAAAGCAAAATCGTAGATGGATGTCATTATTGAGTTGAAAATGTTATGCTTTTCGCTCACTGCAAACGCTAAGACTGTCATTTATCTATATATCTACCGTCTATAGAAGTGCGGACTTACTGTCTTGATATACGAATAACAACTGTTATCTTTCAGTCTGTTAATTAGAATCAATGTAGAGCCTGGCAAAAGTGTTCGTTCTCCTAAATCGCTGTATCATCACAAGATAAATATCAAAGAAGTCTAAGAAATTTTAATAGTGATGATAGTGAGAAAAATCAAACATTAAGAATATGGTTTAAAAAGACGAAATGAAAAGGTATATATGAAGGAATACTGAAACTCATGATCTAACGCAAGATAAAGATTAAATCCATCTCTCCTGGTGTGAATAATTCTGAGTTATTTCACCCAAAGGCTCCAAACACTGATCGTGGTTATCGTAAAGACCCCAACCAGATATTCTTTATCTACTAGCGTAACTCAGATCACCAGTCCAGAAATTCCATTGAGTAATATCACGTTATGTTTCAGCTCCTTCTTAGCTTACTTACAACTTACTCCTACACCAGCAAACGTTTCCCCTATAGAGATATTAGGTACACGTAACTCATATCCCAATCTCCTTAGCTGATAAAGACTCTTAACTTCATCAAACGAACTATACCTAATACTTTGCACCAACATCGTTCACTCGGTCGTACCATGATAATCAAATTGTTCTTTGAGGGAACCTATGATCAAAAGTCTACAGCCTACATATGTCCTCAAATTTCATAGACTATGTTTTACAGTCATAGACTAACATAGATCAGACTTCTGCTCAGTTGGCTTGTTTTTGGTTGCCAGACAGCTATCCAATATGTCACAACAGATGAGAGTTGGTGGCGACTTATGATTGTATACCTCGGAATATGCTAGACCAGTGTAGATGAATTTATTTTTTATGTTTATTTACGCCTTAAATACGATATGACGTTAAATGCTTGATTGCTCGATTTTATTTCTTACTTTCAGTTTCTGCTACTGTTATTCTCAGTTTGTTCACTACTTTTCTTTTCTTTTTATTGATTGACTAATATGGAGTGCAGCAACAGAAATTGATATCCACTTGTACCAGATCAGATGATGTTTTTCCTGACGTAGATGTCCAAATTATCATGCCAAATGGCATTCAGAAGAAAGAATTAGATCAGATTTGTAAGGCAAATGTATAAATAAAACATCGCTGATAAGAGATCGCTTCAAATCACCCAACTATAGTGGTTTCTCTTGACACTGAGTCAATATTCAGCTCTGCTGACCGATAGGTTCTGTAACAATGTTTGTCACTAAAAGTTGTACCAATGAAGTTCAAACTTGTAAAGGTTCTTTACTTAAACACTGTTAGTCGAGTTAGAGCTTATGGCAAACTGTTAACCTCAAGTGTTGTTCATCAAAATTGCCCACCATCCCCAGTTTTATTTAATCTCGTTATCGACGTCCTCTTAAAATTAACATTTTCCTTAATTGCCTTTTCAAAGGATTGATTAACAGGAATTTCGCTCACTGACATACGTCAGTTACTCGGTCTTATTTGACGAAGGTGTTGAAAAAGTCCAGTCTTTTAAACTCGTTGAGCAGCAGTGTTAGCATGTTTATGATGCACTTCCTACCTTCTAAATGCAAACTGATATTTCAAGATTGATCTGCGTCAACGCCTGAAGTTGTGATAGAGAGTGAATTAGATGAGTGTGCCAAATACTTCACTTATCATTTAAGCCCCATCAGCTAGTGTCTAATGAAATCTCGACGTCGACTAAGAAAGCCTGATCGGCTTTTGTCGATTTCATTTGCAGAGTAGGCGAGATATCCATCTGTCAACAAAAGTGTGTATGTTGCATGGCAGTTCGCTTTCCACTTTTTAGCTACGAAACATGGCCTACAAAAGTAGAGAACATGCGTGGTGTGAAGGTTCTTGATCATAGATGTCTTCGAAATATTGCTAACGTTCTATGGAATGACTGAGGGAACCATGTTAAAGTTAGGGATAGAGTACTTGGCAAAATTCACAAATCGGTTGATGATCTAGTGACTCTTAATCAACTGAGGTTGCTAGAACAAATGTTACATCTGTTTAACGAGTGCCTACCTAATGGGCTATGCTTGCTGGTACGAGAGTGCGTTAGAAAAAAGTTAGGAGCGGCTAAACTGGAACGTGACATCAGTCCATGAGAACTCCGACTGTTGGTCTGAGCCATGTAAGTAGGTATGGACTGCCTGGTTCGGGTTAACATGAGAACCAGTGTTAGTGGTTAGAGATTGGATAAGATAACTCAAAATCACTCACAATGGAGCACATACATTCACTTTTATCTTCCTCTTGATCTTAAATTTCATTATCCCTTCATGCTTACCGTTCTACTTTATTTTTTGAAGCCATAATGTAATGGTTTAGTCTTTCTTTTTATAATTCTTACTACACTGTTCCGATCTCTTTTGTTATTTTCATCTTATCGTGCCAACGTGACACGCCAACTCATGTTTAACGCACATCTGTGTCTGACTCTATGTATATGATGTTTGTCTGTCTGTCAAATAATTGTAAACACAATTAACTCAGTATGATTTAACTAAATAACTTAACCTAATATCAACTCTCTTATCATTAAGACGTTCATTTCATTTTTTTTCTTTTAAAAGTATGCAAGTAAAATGTCACATATAAAGAAACCCATAAGCCACAAAGGTACTTTTTTCTGTTAACACATACGTAAGTTTTATTGTTGAAATCATGAATCAATTGAAGCTAGACCATCATGGAAAACCTGGAAGCACTGGAAAAAAATTTCGTCCTAATGTGGGATCCCTCAGTAGTGCACATCCACGATATCGCCTCACGAGATTCGAACCCAGGACTTATCAGTCCCATGCGCGAGCGCATAACCTCTAGACCACTGAGCCGGCATCCAACGATGTTAATGTCTAACTTCAACCAATCCACGAAATTGATCGACACGTCCAACATTGTCTTCAGTAAGTTACTATCACAACAGACCTGGTTGAGAAGCAGTAACCAGTGGAGTTCAACCAGGTCTATTGTGAGAGAGTAACTCACTAAAGACAATGGTGGAAGTGTCGATCAATTTCGTGGATTGGTTGAAGTTAGACATCAACATCGTTGGATGCCGGCTCAGTGGTCTAGAGGTTATGCGCTAGCTCGTGGGACTGGTAGGTCGTGAGTTCGAATCTCGTGAGGCGATATCGTGGATGTGCACTACTGAGGAATCCCACATTAGGACGAAATTTTTTTCCAGTGCTTCCAGGTTTTCCATGATGGTCTAGCTTCAATTGACTCATGATTTCAACTATAAAACATAAGTAAATACTTTTAAAACTGAAGGCGGAACTTTTAACATAAAGAATAATTTCTCATTTTCGTAGAATACTCTGTGAGGTTTTAGAATGACAATGAGATTTTAATAGTTAACTTCTCCGGGTGTATTAATGAATCCGTAGCTTTGGTTCCGTTCTTGCAGAATAGATCAGGGATTTCATCATTTCAGAACAGATATTATTATTAATAACAGCTTTTTCCGTGATAATTATGTTTACTCCTGTTTTGTCTTTACCTTCTTACTACGTTGTATTTCAGGTGAATGAGGTAGGTTTTCAAAAAATACAGACTATTTCTCTCATATCAAGTGTGCATATTCACTTAATGATAATTTCTTTCTATAGTAAACCAATTAAATGCTATGTATCATAATTGTGTACATTGATTTATAGGCTTATTTACTCTTGCAGATAATGTTATAATGACTCTAATTTTTTCCACTTAAATTCGCATACTTTATAACTTGTATCTTTCTAGCATGTTAGGATTTTCTTATAAGTGTTTCAACATAAGTTATAAAAGTATACGTCGGTTATTTAAATACATAGAATTCTTTGTTCTTGAATCCCTTAGTTTTTTTTCTGAAAACATATATTCCCAGTCTAGTGTATATGTGATTAATGCGTCTCAATCCTGAATCTTATACTGATTAGGTATAAATTAGAATCCCATATTTTGAAAGAGGTGAGTAGGTTGCAGCTCACTAAGTTTATATTTAACTGATTATGAGGAAAATATAATAGGAAAATGTATAACATGTTTCTGTCAAAGTAGATTGTCTTGTATATTTCTATTTCAGAAGTCTAAAACCAATGTGATTAGTTCAAATAGAAGGCGATTTCATCTTCAGTATACAAAGTTGATAGAAGCATTGGATTTGCATGATAACTACAGTAGTTCTCCTAACTTGTTTTATGGAAATGAGAACACAACAAAAAACTCCAAAATAGATCTACAGTACGAGGGCTATATTTATAAGTAAGTTAGGATATATGAAAGAACAATAATGTGTTTATATTCTTTTTCCTTAAATAAAACTTTTTATCAACGGAACTATTTGAATTAAAAACTTCTGCATAGTTCATGTTAGCTGATCTCCCAAATATAATATATGGACTAGTTGTTCACCAAACACAATTCTTCTGTAATCGCTGAATATTGTACTCTGTAATATAGTTATAAGCTATTAGTATCAGTGTGGAAACAAATGTATTACATTAATCCTTACATGCTTGTTCCATTAATTCATCATATAATGGTTCAGAAAGTCAGGCTGTTAGAAGTGATTGATAAAAAGCCCAGAACCTAAGAAACTCAACACACACATAAACAACAATTTCCTTCATATTCTGCAAACATTTCCCGCTGCCTAACGAAACGCACTGTGAATTTTCCTTTTGTATTTGGTTTTCTATCTAGAAGTTTAACATTATAAAATATCAGTTACACCTTGAACACTCTAAAATCTAATTGTTTACTTCTATATGTCAGCGTATTCACTTCAAAAAGTTGACTCAGACTAATTGTATTTTTTAATCCTCATTGAAAAATACTTTGTTACTAAAACTGTATGTCACGCCGTTCATGTAATATACCTACGAATATAATCACTTTACAGATTTTTCTTGTGTAGCAGTAGAGCAGAAATCCAGTACAACTCATTGAGCAGGATTCTTTTCTGAATTAATTATATTTTCCTTAGTTACACACACTGTTTAGCCATTTTTAGGCTATTCTTGCGAAGATAGATTATTCAGACTAAAACCTGCTTATATATATTTAGATGTTTCACATATCTGTTTACTTGGTTCGATCTTTGTATCATTTTTTAATTCTTACATCGCTTAAGCCCCTAAATGCCCTGGTACAACCGAGAGTGGGGAGAGTCTGCTCTCCCTCTCGAAATGCTCTCATATGGCCAGCGAATATATAGCCTCTGCCAGGGAAGTCCTACTCACTGCCTTCTCGCGGCATTAGTCGTTGACGAAATTGAGAGGACGAAAAGTGAATTTCAGGCGCTTTAACCGGATTAGTGGACACAGCACATCCACCTAGGGGAGTTGGAAAACCCTGATTCCAAACCAATGGTGCGAATGGGTTCCAGTATCCTAAGGAAAGAAATGGCGTATGAATCAATCGTTGGTCATCGGCTACCATGGGACTGCATCTCCTCAAGATGCTCCACTGCCTTGTGGATTAGACCTTTAGGACAAAGGCTCCGATTGTGGTCCCCTAAGAAAACCACCTGTTTCAGTTTGGGCATCTGGGCAGTATCATAGCCCTCACACAAATCGAATGAGATTTGTGCGGCGCACATATATCTGGCGCTTCCTTGTACCAATATTTATGTGTTTAAATAAATAAATAAGATTGAATCAAGGGCATTCATATCATCCAGACGATATGCCGTCTACAAACTATTCGGTTTGGATTCACCAGTAGATAATGGAAGTACATGTGAATTTGTATTATTCTATGCTTCTTGATTTCTGATGAATTGTTATTTTAGTTGCTAAATTTTCATGGCATTGTAAAATATTTTTAAAAAATTATTGTTAACTGTTTCATAGAATGAAGCATACTTTGTATATAGTTTGGAATCTGTTAACTGATTGTTACTGGCTTTTATTGAGTTCGAAATTGATCAGTTTTAATTCTGATTTAAAGATTAAAAATGAAGTGTCTGATGGAAAAGATGTAAGTGAATTTTAGAATTTTTCATAAATGTTATGATTTTATTTTCAAACTAGACATCTGGTTATCTTACAATACTTTCAAGTAATTTAAATACTGTAGTCTTGTGGTGGTCGATATTCTATATTATCCTTAAACTTCGTATATTGTTCGTCCTGATAACCGTAACTCGATAACGTCCTAACGGTGTATAAATCAGAAAGGTTGATCGCATTTATTATTGGACCACACACAGATATCCGAAATTACAGGCACGTTAAGCAAGCATGAAAGAGTGGTGCCGTAAAGCAGGTAAGTGGGCGTAAGAGTCGAATGAGCGAGAGATCAATTGACCGAGTAAACGTGTACAGTACAGTTCAGTGAACCGGATTAAGATGTATATATATATATATATATATATACAAATGGAAAAGCATGAATCATCCAATCAACTAAGTGATTAATAGTAAGGCTAGCAGAATGAATATATGAGTAGGCAGTAAGCAATGCTCAAGCGTACATGATAAAGGTACAATAGTATAGATAGGTCGTTGTTGTACGAATCACTGTCAGTTATATAAGTTAACATAAGGGCTTAGCCAAATTGGATGTAAAGAAACTCAATTGTATGTGAGCTGCTATAGTCTCATATACCAAGTTATTAATCTCACGTAGGTTTGTAATCAGGTTAATCCTTAGTTCATGTTTCATTTCTGTTATGAATACCTTGTATCTCGTGGATAAATAACGATAAAGTGACTGAAGTTCTAACATTGATAATACAGACATAAACTAGGGTCACAACAAACAAATGATACAATTGTGAAATCTCAATGCTCAAAAAATTGAATTTTTAGTGTTTCTCAACCTACTATAAATTGCTTCTTTAGAGAGTGGATGGATGATCGAGTTAAATCAACTCAAGTTTAAATAGTATAGAGAAATAAAACAAAATATTCGATACAGCCAAAATAATTTGTATCATACTGAGGTCACATTATCCAGGTTAAAGGTGAGACAATATGTAAGTGTACATTCAGATATATGTAAGTAGGTGTGAATAGTCGGTATTTACTCTCTGAAGTCGCTAGACATCAGAAATTTAATTTTCTATCCACAACCCATTATGTTAATGAATAAAAAGAATTCAGTGGAGAAAATTTCCTTTTCGACGAAATCATTTGCTTAAGCTATACATTCGTATTTATAGTTCGATGGTAAATATATGTCTACGGAAGGATAGAAGAGATTGCATCATAAAGTGATTGGAGACTTCAAATATCAAGTGAGGTTGAATCAGGGGGGTTAGAGAATAATAGAAGGATTAAAATAATTTACGGGTTGGAATCATGAAAGATAATTGTCCGCTTGATAAATATGAAGAAAAACGAAAACACATAAAGGTCATATTAATAACGGATTACGATTTAAAGTTACAAAACAATAATTAAAAATAAACAAGATTAATACATAATATAGAAGGGAATTAGGGTCGAAGAAGAATGAGAGTTTGGACGTATCGTTTTTGCATGCAGAGTTTGGGCTTGAACAGGTTGATCGCCAACTCCTCAGCAATGCATATGATTTTGATTCGACCTCCTTCGATTCAGTTCCTTTAATTGTGTAAATTATTTTGAAGGAAGACTTCTTTGCAGCAAAGTGTTCAGAGTTGATTAGGTGTTCCTATATTTCCCGACCGTTGCTGCTACCTTGACGTGGTGGTCGGGCTTGCCTATCGTGATGAAGCAATCGAGCTATGCTGGCTGGAACAATCGTTCCTCGAGGTCCTACCATGCCATTTAACTGGTGACTTTTGCATTCTTTTAAAACTGGCGCTGAGTAATGTTCTGAAATACGTTTGGAAAGCGATCGCTTTGAGCGGCCAATACAACCTACCACACTAGAGCAAGTAAATTTATAAATACACATCGATGTGCACATTATGATACAATCTTTTCTATCCTTCTATAGACATATATTTGTCATACAACTATAAATGCGAATATACAGCTTAAGTAAATGGTTTCATCGAAAAAAGAATTTTCTTATCTAATATTATTAAGTTACAGAGTGATTTCGAAAAGTATAGATAAACATAAACTTTTAAGGGAATATATTGTACAGTTAAAAAGTAATGTTTCACTCCATTAAAGTTCTGATGTGTAAAATAATATAAAAACACGTACATTCAGCTGACAAGTCCCAAATAGGACGAAACGCGCGTCTTGTATTCCACTGCTAGCCACTATCCATCTATGTTTATAATGCTTATGACTTGGGGCAATATCGAGACAATCTACACAGTATGCACATATACCAATAAGAGACTGATCAATTACTATCCTAGACATCAATGCGAAGATTCAAACATCCAATACAAAAATTAATTTAATATTAAAACTTATTGTTTCTGTGAAACAAAAAAAGACAACTCGTTGATTGATTTAACTGTTCATTTAATATCAGAAGGGGTTTTCGTGGATATTATAGTAATTTTAGTAGTTGAGATCATAAGTCAGTTGAAACTAGACCACCATAGAAAACCTGGGAACCCTGGTCTAGAGGTTAAACACTCATGTGTCGGACTGATAGGTCCTGGGTTCGAATCTCGTGAGACGGGATCGTCGATGCGCACTACTGAGGAATCTCAATAGTTTTCCACGGTGGTCTAGCTTCAACTATTAAAATTATTCATTTAATAATGATATTTTAATTAATCTAATCTTGTATCTATCTATTATGAACTATAAAATCCTATTCATTGAATACCATTCATAATAAAATCACATTAATTTATGATAGAACTAATATCAGAAGGGGGGGGTTTGTGGATATTATAGAAGTAATATATCCAGTTTTATAAATTAAATGCTGATCAAATTTTTTTTTGTTTAATCATCAGAAAAAAAAATTAATGTAATCACTAAACTAAATCAATACTGTATGCTGAATTCAACTTATCTCTTATTCCATTTTTTTCTACTGTAAACATTGAATATGAGATGATCCTAAATAGGACTTATAAATTATATCAATAAAAACTTTGGGAAACTTAAACGAAACAAACTTCTACTCGAAGTTTGTGCTGATAATGTCGTTCAGACGGACGATGAAAGCTCCACGACTCAACCATTCAGCTCAGAGAACAAACCTACATTAAAATCACCCACCTGAGCTACAAATCTTCTCTACCATCTCAAAACTTAAACGAATATATAAAATAATTCTAAAATACTTAAGATTATGAGTCAAATGAAGTTGGACCACCATAGAAAACCGGGAAGTACTGGACAACTGTTTCGTCTCATTGTGAGACTCTTCAGCATAATTTATAATACTCAATACAAATTGCTATTTTATTAGTCACAAAGAAAAATATTTTTTGATATACTTACTTCTTTACTTTGATCTTTCTGATCGAAAATTACTATTGATTTGATTTGTTTAATAATAGTATATCTCAATAGTGTAATAAGAAGATGAAAACTATCAGAGCTTATTACACTATCGAAATTTATCAAAGGGATTAATTGCTTTAAATAGTCTGTCTAACTGTATTATCAATGAAGTATAAATTTTTCTTTGATTTTCAATAAAATTTGAAAAATTCCCATATTGTGAATTAGAACTATATAAGCAAACAATATTGTTTTCGTGGATGCACATTGCGGAGGAGTTCCATAATAGGACGAAACGGCCGTCCAGTGCTTCCAGGTTTTCCATGGTAGTCTAGCTTCAATCGACTCATGATTTCAACTTTGAAAAATACTGAAATCTCCACAAAACCTCTTCTGAATATACTGAATTATTAAACCAATCAAGGCAGTTTATCAGTCAATGATAACAGTGGAATAGATTACATAACTGAAAATAATTATAAGTGAAAAGTACAAATTGGTAGTGTGATGTTACAGGTGTACTAGTTGTGATAAGAATAATAAATGCTTGAATCAATGTTACATAATAGGAAATAGGTCAAGCGTTCGGATAATTGAACCGTGAAACGAATATGTGAAAAATAAATAAATAATTGGTAGGGGGGGTGAAGAAAAATAAAGGGAGAAAGAGTATGGAAAATAAAATTATTTATTAAGGCCAAAGGAGAGATAAAGGTGTTACAGATTTTTCATGAACACAAAGGCTTGGATTGTTGGATTGAATTCTTTTAGCTTCTGCTATGTATAAGGTACGAGATCGAATCCCATAAGGAAAACTAGTAAGAATACGATAAATAACTTTAAATGTCTTATTTCTGTCAATAATTTTAATTATTCATTTCGAAATATGAATTCAATATTTCTCTCCAAATAATCAAATATTTAATAAGAAATTTTCTTAATTATTACAAATTTACTATTCTACATCTTAACATTTTATCAAATATTCATTTTATTCATATGGATAAATGTTTAAACTTTAATTTCGTCGATTCATAACTTCATCAATCTTATATAGTACTAAAACAAATATACAATTATAAGGGGTTTTGTGGAGATTTCAGTATTTTCAAGTTGAAAACATGAGTTAATTGAAGCTAGACCACCATGAAAAGCTTGGAAGTACTGGACGGCTTTTTCTTACTATTGTGGGACTCCTCGGTAATGCACATCCACGATCCTGCCTTACGAGATTCAAAACCACGACCTACCAGTCTCGCGCCAGAGCGCTTAACCACTAGATCATTAAGCTGGCCGACATCCTATGGATGTTAATGTCTAACTTCAACTAATCCACGAGGATGAGTCCCATAATAGGACGAAACGGCCGCCCAATGCTTCCAGGTTTTCCATGATGGTCTAGCTTCAATTGACTCATGATTTAAATTATGAAAATATACAATTCTGTTGATCTGTATATAATGAAATAATTATAATTTTCATTTGTTACTCCAACTTTGGATTGATTAAAACATTAAATATAATTCACTTAGTATTGTTTGTTTGGATCTTCCCATCGATGTGTTTAGGACTGCAACTGGTCAGTCTCTAATTGGCATATGTGCATACTGTGTGTATTGCCTCGATATACCTTAATTCACAAGCATGGTAAGCAGAGATGGATAGTGGTTAGCAGTGGAATCCAGGACGCTATAAATATAATTACTACTTTTTTTGAGTTAATTTTTCTAGATATATAAGATGGAAAGAAAATAGTGTTATCGTAATTTACTCGTCACAGTATTTAACCAATCAAAAGTACAATCATTTTAAATGATATTTTGAATAAGAGAAAAAATATGTAACTTGAAAGGTCATATTTATCTTTGGGTCTTGTGTATATGTGAAATGCATTAAATTCAAATAAACTATGTTAAACAAAATGAATTGATGGCCAAATTAAGAAAATATATTTATAGTGATCACAAAAATTCTACTTTAGAATGTGTCTATTCTATTTACTGATCATAGATTAGTTAAGTTGATTAAATATTTTGAAAATTATCTTTTTTAAATGAGTTGATGGCCAGTAAAAGATCATTATGATAATACTGAGAATCGTATTTAACTTTCATTAGTTTAAGATGGTTGAGAAGATTTGTAGCTCAGGCGGGTGATTTTGTTGTAGGTTTGTTCTCTGAGCTGGATGGTTTGGTCATGGAGCTTTCATCATCCTTCTGAACGACATCATCAGCGACTTCATCATCTAACCGAAGTTTATGCTGATGATGTCTTTCATAAGGACGATGAAAGCTCCATGACCAAACCATCCAGCTCAGAGAACAAACCTACATTAAAATTTCATCAGTTTAAGCCACTTGTAGCGTTTAAGAAATATATCCTTTCGTCAATTCTTATCGTAGAGAACATGGTTTAACTTGTTTGCTCAGTAAACTTTCAAGAATCTATTGCTAGGTATATGTTCTTCAATTCCTGATTTGTCAGTATAGATTTATGAAGATTGTTGAGTTCCATCAAAATGATGACCACTATTAAAAACCTGAGAGCACTGAACGACCGTTTCATCTTAGTGTCGGATTCCTCAGAAGTGCCTATTCACGATCTCACACATAGGAATCGAATCCAGGACCCACAGTATAGCTCACTAACATTTTTAACGTCTAAATTCAGTCAATCCATGACCGTTTACCATCGTCTTCGATAGGTAACTGCCTCAAGCCCGACACGGTTGAACTTCACTGGTCATACCTCAATAGAATTCCGGTAATTTCTTCTAGGAGCTTGTCACTAGTGAGTACATGATAAGTGAATTATAATGTGTTCTATTTGTCTAGTTTTTTTTAATCCTAATCGGATTCTTCTTATCACATTATAATGTGGCCATCAATCTACATGACTCGACATCCTATGCATTATATTTTAGTGTTAAGCGGCTGGAGGTATTCGGGGGGAATTCCTTCCTAAACTATGCATTTTGGTAATTGACACTTATCTTCATGGCATACCTACAATCAAATAATAAGATATAAAAAATTGCTTTAAAATTACAACTTTTGTAAAAACTTCCTTGTGTAACTTTAATTTATGTACGAACCAATCAGATTTAGGAATAAAAGTCTTGGATTTTGGCACGAAATCAATTCATTCATTTGATTAAATAACATTTCAGCACTTTATCTGATGTTAGATTGTAATGAAAAACCTGAATCTAATTCCTAACCCTAACCATCAACTGTAAATCATAATTCTAATTCCTCACGCTGACCCTCATTTACCCCTAGTAAGTGGGTGGAAATTCTCAAGGTCACTTTAGCGTCGCTCAAAGGTCGTCCATAAACCATAGTTTTACCAACTTTTTTCTCCAAAACTAGTTACCGTTGAATTAATCAATATGATGGGATTCAGATACATCCATCTGATGAGACCCAAATAGAACAAAACACCTCTATTTTTTTCCACGGCTAGCCACAATCTAACTGTGCTTTTAATACTTGTCACTTGTAGTAATTTGCACAGTATTCACATATAACGAAAGAGACTGATCAAAAACAGTCCTAAACATAACCACATAACCAGTACAAATGAATGAGTCGTTTTTTTTTGTAACTTTCACCTGATTTACTTCTTTATTTGAAAATTTAGTATCAGCTTAATAAATGAACTGGTGCTATTCACTTTAGCTAATGTTAAAATTCATTAGTATATTTTAAAAATAAAACAACAGATCACTCTTCTTTGTTTAAAATCATACCAAGAATCAAAATATATACTCGAAACATATTCGCATAAACCTAGACCCTATTCTAAGACGGTAGTATTAGACAATGATACCTAAATTTGTTAATCTATTTCATTCATTCATCCAATTAGTCATTTGTCTACCTATATTTTGGATAATCTTAAATAATTTTAATAATCATTATTTTCATAGTTGAAATCATGAATCAATTGAAACTAGACCACCATGGAAAACCTGGAAGCACTGGACGGCCGTTTCTTCCTATTATGGGACTACTCCTCGTGGATTGGTTGAAATTAGACATTAACACCATCGGATGCCAGCAGGCTCAGTGGATTAGTGGTTAAGCACTCTGGCGCGAGATTGGTGGGTCCTGGATTCGAATCTCGCGAGTGAGGGATCGTGGATGCGCACTTCCATAATTGGACGAAACAGCCATCCAGTGTTTCCAGGTTTTCCATTATGGTCTAGCTTCAATTGACTAATGATTTCAACTATGAAAATACTAAATTCTCCACAAAACCCCTTCTGATCTATAATCATTTTCTTTCTCTTTCTCTTTTCTTCACTCACATAATTTTAAATGTTTATTCATTTTGTTTGTTTATTTCATTTAGATGATAGTTGATGAAGCTAATCATAGACAAAGAGTATTCAACAGTTTGCTAAATCATCTAGCATGTTATCAATGTGTTATACTACTTAAAAAGATTCATCTAAGATATATCCCTTTTAATGTTATCTCATCTTATAATATTCATGATGTGTATCATAATTTATATTTAATGAGAAATGATGAGAATAACTATATAAGTAAGTAGAAATAATAATTCATACATTTGTGTAATTACTTTTGTTGTGTACAGTTGTTGTTGTTGTTCTTTTCACATTCTTGTTGATGCATTTCAACGAAATGACTGTCCAAATATTCCATGGTGGTCTAGCTTCAATTGACTCATGATTTCAACTATTGAAACTACTATAATATCCACAAAAACCCCTTCTGATATTAATCATTATTTGCAATATGAAGATGAGTTCAAACTGTTCGTAAAAAAACAACCCATATTGTTCAATATCAAAGTCTACAAAATTTTAATGTTCAGACCACTAATCAATTATATCGATTGATATACTCTATTTTCAAGTTACAAGTCTTGCTGTAAGGACTAGTAATGATACCAGCTAGATGTAATAAACCATATTTAGGTGAAGTAAGTTTAGAATAAACAATCAAAAGATTATATAACAAATGTTTTCGTCTTCAAATTATAACTCTTTACAATTTTCACTATATAAATGACTTCGTCATATTCACTTGGTATTATTTGTTTGAATCTTCCTATTGATGTTTAGGACTGTAGTTGATCACTCTCTTATTGGCATATGTGCGTATTGCCTCGATATAGCCTTAATTCACAAGCATTATAAACAAATAGGACGAAACGCGAGTCCTGGATTCCACTGTTAGCCACTATCCATCTTTGCTTACCTAGTTAATTATTGTTGTAGTATATGTTTTAGTATGACTGGTAGCGTGTTCTCGATCACTGTGCTGAGTATTTAGCTGGTACGTGTGATACCATATATGTAATAGAATCATTCCCATCGTTCAACCTAGAAAACAAGCCTCTCATCAGTAGCACTTCCGGCGAGCATCAAATTAGTTGTTTTGATTTATTATGACTTTCCAACTGAAAGCCATCATCGATAAAAGTTATCATTTACTATAAACCTAAATTGTTTCTCAGCAAGAGGATTATTAAAATGTTGCACTTTTGATTGAAAATACTTTTATATTAATTATTTTTGGTTTTTATTCAAGGCAAATTTATTATTACCAATAATGAAGCATCACGCAAATATTCCGAGTGCCTTAGTTCAGTGTTCGTAAAATTGGATAATGTATTTATGGTAAGTTTCTTCCATTTCATTTTGTTAATAATATGTTATTGAAATAGATGGTTTGTAGATATTAAACTCTACTAACTGGCCATTTATGACGAAGTTGGAGTGTGCTAATTACTGCGGAGTATTAAACTAGGCTGAAGGTTATCTGTTCAGCAGTTTCTGTATAGATACTTTCGTTCATGTTTCATCTTAATTATAATGACATCTTTTGTCATTGATTGCTATCAGTTCAATGGAAAAACACTAGTGAGACCTATTATTACACTTTTGACGACAAAAACCCTGTCTACATTACGTTACCATTCAGGGGTTAGTGAAATGGCCTTGTGCTGAAACGAAGGCTCAAATCAGTTGTAAGTAAACGTATTTTGTAACACTAAGTCACATAACGTCAGAAATACAATATATATGCTCAAAGGTCACTTTTCTTAAAAAAAAAACAAGGTTCATGCTTCAGCGAAAACCTAGATGTAAGTGACTGCGTTACATCCTACTGTGTTCATCAGTTTCTTTATATGTGTATGACCGCACATACATAAGGAGTATTAATCGTGATCTGTAAGTTAAAGTGCCTGAACACATATCAAATAATCAATTAACCCGATAAGAGCAGATAACAAACATCCATCTCCCTCTATTGCTGAAAACAGTAGAAATAAGTCATAAGGTTTATCTTTGGGATTTTGTACAAAGTTGTTTAGGGCATTTACTAAGGTTTAATGAAGCCTTGGTCATATAAAATGTCAAAACCCACTTATGCATTCAAAAACAGTTTTTTCTCACCCTGAACCTACCTTGATATTATAGTTTTATTATCCAGTCTGGTGTTTCACATTATGTTCCATATTATCTTCTCTATTAATCGTGTTTTCTCTTACCCTCCATTCGTCTAGTTGACCTTTTATTTTTCGTATACAAATGTTCTTCACAAGTTTATATGTGATCAGATATTTCTGATAATCTTTTGTCTTCTTATTTCATTATCCTAACTAAATAAATGGTTGAGATTATTTTCATGGTTGAAATCCTGGGTCAATTGAAGCTAGACTACCATGGAAAACCTGGATGCACTGGACGGCAGTTTCGTCCTATTATGGTACTCTTCAGCAGTGCGCATCCACGATATCGCCTCACGAGATTCGAATCCAGGACCTACCAGTCTCGCGCCAGAGCACTTAACCGATGTTTGAGATTTCTCATCAGTTCTTTGTGTAAATACTTTTTTTGGTTTTCGTTTACGCGATTATCATGCAATGATTTGCTTTCGGCTTAGTTAAATTTCAGAGGGGGTTTTGTGGAGAACTTAGTATTTTCACAGTTGAAATCATGAGTCAATTGAAGGTAGACCACCATCGAAAACCTGGAAACACTGGACGGCCGTTTCGTCCTATTATGGGACTCCTCAGCAGTGCGCATCCACGAACCCGCTCTCGCGAGCGAGATTCGAACCCAGGACCTACCAGTCTCGAGCCGAAGCCCTTAACCGATAGACCACTGAGCTGGCATCCAACGGTGTTAATGTCTAACTTCAACCAATCCACGATATTGAGCGACCGTTCACCAATTGTCTTCAGTGAGATGATTAAATTTGACAAGTTTCCATATTAGAACGTTGGGAAACTCATCTTTAAAGCGGGTCAGCATTACTCAGTGAAATATGAATATTGTTATTCACTTATGTATATGTGGTAGACCAATTAGGTCTTAAAGACGGATTTTAGTGTGACCTGTTTATTTCAATTTGAAATGGTTTAGATGATACCGTTCTTGATATTTTTGATTGAAATTTGGTTAGTATGGGCTGGAATATGGGCATCCTGTGCAGATTGTCACACTATAGCCGTTAAAAGTTGAAATAGAGTAAATGGTTTGTGGCTAGCAGTGCAATCCAGGTGGTGCGTTTCGTCCTGCTTGCGACTCGTCAGTTGGGTGTACTCACTCATCTATTTGACAGTCTACTGGCAGATCTTCCATATCTAAAAAATACCAGTAACCTAGTTGGAAGGAAAGTTGACATTAAGGCGCATATTACTCATATGATTAGTATTCAAGCCAATTAATTTTAGTAGTGTGATCTACGCTTGTTCAGTTGTTTTGGGATAAGACGTTCGTTCCTCCTAAAACTAGTAACAGTTAACTGTAAACTGATGTTGCCATGGTCTTTCGTTTGTTCATGAGAAAAATATATATAAGGATTACTTATCTTTACAATGATAGGTCATATCAGTTCAAAAAGTGTTAAAGACTGGAGGTAATGTCTCGTGAACTACCACCAACATATAAACATCACACATAAGATGCGTGTCATAAATGACTAAGCTAGAAGCTAGCGCTAGGTGCTGTGTTCTGGAACGGTGACTTGGTGATTTTTAGGCGTTCTACTTTCAGCCACTAAATCTGAGATTTAGTTCGATCAGTATGGTAGTATCACTAGCGCGAGCACCTAGAGTGTGGCTTGAAATCAGGTAAATGAGTATTTAACACTGTGAGAGTATGTTCTCCAAATACTAGCCCTCTATCCCAACTGAAATAGGTGGAACTTAGAACTCAGTAAATGGAAACCAATTTTTTCATCTTCTATTTGTAGTTTGACTCTTCCCATTGACGTTTAAGACTGCAATTGGCCAGTCTCTTACTGGCATATGTGCCTACTGTGCAGATTGCCTCAATATCGCCTCAAGTCACGAGCATTATAAGCAGAGATGTATGGTGAATAGAAGTGAAATCCAGGATGCGTTTTTCCGTCTATTCGGGATTCATCGGCCAGATATATCTGCATACCAGAGTCGGTGTTCACTCCACCACTCGAACCTAGTACCGTCCGCTTTGAATGTCATTGCGTTATCCACCTAGCTACTGAATCTAAATAACCACTATATGCAGTTACACCTAACTGACGAGTCCTAAATAGCCACTTATTATTTCTGCCCTCCTGTCTCATACACACGAACAAATACAGACCAAGACAACAAATGTAGAAGCAGCCTCTGCATCAATAGGCCTCCACATTCACAAAGGAAAAAGCAAGATTCTCAAATACAACACGGAGAACACCAATCCAATTACACTTGATGGAGAAACTCTGGAAGAGGTGGAAACATTCACGTACCTGGGACGCATCATGGATAAATAAGGAGGGTCGGATGCAGATGTCAAAGCGAAGATTGGCAAAGCAAGGATAGCATTTCTATAATTGAAGAACATATGGGACTCAAAACAACTGTCAACTAATTTCAAAGTCAGAATCTTCAATACGAACGTCAAGACAGTTCTACTGTACGGAGCTGAAACGTGGAGAACTACTACATCCGTCGTCAAGAAGGTGCAAGTATTTATAAACAGTTGTCTACGCAAAATACTCAACATTCACTGGCTGGATACTATCTGCAATAGTTTTTTATGGGAGAGGACAAACCAGGTTGCAGCTGAATAGGAAATTAGGAAAAGACGTTGGAATTGGATAGGACATACAATGAGGAAATCATCAATGTGCATCACAAAGCAATCCCTAATTTGGAACCCGGAAAGGTAAGCGGGTAAGAGAAAGGCCAAGAAACACATTACTTTGGGAAATAGAAGCAGATATGAAAAGGATGAATGTTGAATGGAAAGAACTGGAAAGAATTGCCCAGGGCAGGGTTAGATGGAGAATGCTGGTGAGCGGCCTATGCTCCTCGGCGAGGGGTAACAGGCGTAAGTAAGTAAGTAAGTAAGTAAGTAAGTAAGTAAGTAAGTAAGTAAGTAAGTAAGTAAGTAAGTAAGTAAGTAAGTAAGTAAGTAAGTAAGTAAGTAAGTAAGTAAGTAAGTAAGTAAGTAAGTAAGTAAGTAAGTAAGTAAGTAAGTAAGTAAGTAAGTAAGTAAGTAAGTAAGTAAGTAAGTAAGTAAGTAAGTAAGTAAGTAAGTAAGTAAGTAAGTAAGTAAGTAAGTAAGTAAGTAAGTAAGTAAGTAAGTAAGTAAGTAAGTAAGTAAGTAAGTAAGTAAGTAAGTAAGTAAGTAAGTAAGTAAGTAAGTAAGTAAGTAAGTAAGTAAGTAAGTAAGTAAGTAAGTAAGTAAGTAAGTAAGTAAGTAAGTAAGTAAGTAAGTAAGTAAGTAAGTAAGTAAGTAAGTAAGTAAGTAAGTAAGTAAGTAAGTAAGTAAGTAAGTAAGTAAGTAAGTAAGTAAGTAAGTAAGTAAGTAAGTAAGTAAGTAAGTAAGTAAGTAAGTAAGTAAGTAAGTAAGTAAGTAAGTAAGTAAGTAAGTAAGTAAGTAAGTAAGTAAGTAAGTAAGTAAGTAAGTAAGTAAGTAAGTAAGTAAGTAAGTAAGTAAGTAAGTAAGTAAGTAAGTAAGTAAGTAAGTAAGTAAGTAAGTAAGTAAGTAAGTAAGTAAGTAAGTAAGTAAGTAAGTAAGTAAGTAAGTAAGTAAGTAAGTAAGTAAGTAAGTAAGTAAGTAAGTAAGTAAGTAAGTAAGTAAGTAAGTAAGTAAGTAAGTAAGTAAGTAAGTAAGTAAGTAAGTAAGTAAGTAAGTAAGTAAGTAAGTAAGTAAGTAAGTAAGTAAGTAAGTAAGTAAGTAAGTAAGTAAGTAATAATCAGAGTTATGTATTCAACTATCATAAGATCAGTAATCAATTTCGTATATCCCTTATCTAATATGAAAGAATTCTGTAGGATTAAGTGTGATACATTTTAACTTAAATCTCAAACCTCGTTGTATTATGAACCTTTATGTCTGTAACTAAATTTTTTTTTTAAAATGAAAATAAACTAAGAAAGTAACAACGTATATTTGATATAACCCACATAGAATTAATCATGTTAATTACTTTATATTCTATAGCTAACCGATCAGTTTAATAATCGTTATTTACATTAATGTTTGTTGTCTATTTTGTGATACAACAAACCGATATTGTTTTTGTGTGCTTTTTAAAAAAAATTTATATCATAATTATGTGTAACAATAACACTTCATTTGTTTAGTTACTAAGTGTTGTAGCAGTCGATTACATGACCTTTGTATTAATATAA